AATATTGTTACACTTCAATAAATAATTGGCTCCCGAAGTAACAATTTGTTATGCTTGGCTGTTTCTTTTTGGAACAATTTTGATTTTTGTTATGATTATGCAGTGCGGTTCGGGTGTGTGTGTGTGTTTTCCCGCACATCGACTCATCAATATGATCTATTGCAACGGTTTCACTTGTTCGCCGTTTTGCATGCGCCATTTCGACAGCGAGCGTGGAAATTCAGACATTCTGTCAGTTTTCCTGAATAAATGTGAATTTCCGATGTGCCCTGGTGTAGCTGCGTTCAGAATTTCACTGCAAATGAACTCGGTAAAATGAAGTGAAGAAACAAAAACCACCGCCATAAATCACCTCACGCGAAACAGGCGTTTTTCGGAAACGCAGAAAACGCATGAAAATTACATTTTGTTATTCCATAAAAACAGCAAAAACAACCGTTACAAAAATAATAATAACAACGACAGGAACAGTGTTCCATTTTTTGAATACGCGAGAAACTGATTAAGCTTCTTCTTCATCCAGTGGAAAATTCCGAAAGATACGCACACATCGCAGATGCTTTGCAAAGTCATCTATGGCAAAAAGTATATTAAACTCTCATTAAACGGAAGGTGTTTTGAATATATCTATAAAAGCGAGCGTCATGCCTCCGCCTTTTTCATACAAAATCCAAATATTATTTACACGAATCCGAAAATATTTTTTTTCCTACCATAACCATACTTCGATTGAAAGAGCTAGTGTTCAATGTTTTCGGCGATCAATTAGAAGGTAGAGTGAGGATGTTCGTGAAGATTATCTGATGGATGAATGTTGGGGTTGTGTTGAATTAAAGGCAACGAAGGTTTTGAATAGGTCGGAGTAAACGAAGGTCGAAGAGATTTCAGGTGGAAATGAACTGTTCAATTTTGTATGAATGACATTTGAGGCTGTGAGAATGAAAATGGCAATACCTGTATCTGTATCTGAGCTTCTGTATGAAAAGATTTCCAATATTTCTCGGAAAAATAACTTTTTACCAAGAAACTCATCTAAAAAGTGTATTTTTGAGGTACCTCCCGAACAAAAATTTATATTTTCATAGCAAAATGCATGAAAAACGTAACTTTTGTTCGGGAGGTACCGCAAAAAGCCAATTTTAAGAGTTTTTGTCTGGGAAGACTCCCCTTATTTTTGAGAAAAAATAACTTTGCGTCAAGACACCATCCCTAAAAAGCCTATATTTAGGGATTTTTCGGTCGAAAGTCGATTTTTTGGGAGTTGAAATCGAATATGAGGCTAGAAATATGTGAAAACATCACTCGATTTGGTCGTATTGGTACTTAAAATGTTCGTAAAGGACCATACTAGATGTTCAAAGGCAGAAGAGGTAGAAATCGTTTGCTTTTATCTGTCAAATCGAAGCTCATGTTTGTGATTTGCTCCTTTTGACCTGAAATTTGTCATATCTGAATCAATTAACACCAAATTTCATCCAAATTGCAATCTGTCAAGTACCAAAATTTTTGTACAGGTTTTTACTACATGACACAAGTCGAAAACTGAACCAAAGTCTACCACCTGGGTGACCAGTAGAGCGAAAAATGCAAAAAATGCCGAAAATTTGCCATTTTTTTGGTCATTTTACACTGTAACTGGCCCAGAATGCCTTTTCAAGGCCTGATGTCTTGGTGAAAGTTGTAGATATTGACAAGCCAAACAAAACCTCATCATCAGTTTTTGCCGAGAATTGGCTGGAAAAATGATTTAGGTCGAAATGTTGCGATATGAATTGGCTTCCGAAATCGCTGTCATGAAAATTTTGATATGGGGCTTGCCATGGGTTTTTATATGGTACCCATATGATTTTTTTGGACAAAACCTATTTTTTTGAGGTATATTTTTCGAAACTGCCCGGGCCTTTTGGATGAGGGACAACTTTTTTTTTTGGGGCAGCCTAGCAATACAGGAATAAACATTCTGAAACGCATCAAGAAAAAAAAATTCGCAAAAATGAATCATGAGTTCTGAATATGCAAAAGTGAAACATGAATTTACATGGGCAGCATAGGAGGTTCATGGTTCACTTTTGCTTATTCAGAACTCATGATTCACTATTGCGAATTTTTTTTTCTTGATGCGCTTCAGAATGTTTATTCCTGTATTGCCATTTTCATTCTCACAGCCTCATTTGGCAAAAGGATAAAAAGAAATTCAACAGTGCAGTCATGACTGCAGCACTTAATAATTTGTCGACGTCCATGTTTGAGTTTTGGGAATTGTATCGCCACAAAAAAATGGCGCTATTTCTGTTTTTAATGCAATAAAGATCATGTGCGAATATCACATCCAACTTTTCTAAAAACCAAAAATTCGTTGCAAGTCAAACTTTTTTCCGTGGCATGAGATGAATTTGATGTGGCAGGTTGAACAACACGCTCTCTCTCTCTCTCTCTCTATCACTCTCGGCGTCTCCATATTACTGATGTAATATCATCTATTTCCGTATGAAGTTCATTTCGTCATGATGATGGAAACTACTGACTTTAAAATCAGTATAATTTTGGTTTAAAGTAAGCTCATTGAAATGCAAAGTTCAAATATGAAGAACACTCAGGCGTGCAAAGAGCGAGAGCGAGAGAAAACAGCGACTGGTTGATGTGATGATGTTGGTGGTAGCAGCAGTGGTGGTGACCTGTGTTTGGTCGCTTGTACCTCCTTTACACCACTGAATTTCAATCGAGATTGCATTGCATTTCGCTTTTCTATGTGTACAATTTTATTAAAATTATTTTTAGATTACCGAAAACTCATTCCTGTGCCAAAGTAAGAGTGCGAAAGCAAAGGGCATTTTCCCCCATATCTCCGAGGCCAATGAAAAAGATGCATGCGAATTTCTCTCGGTTCGGTTTGATGTGTTGTTGTTTTTCTATCTCGTTTTTTTTTCTCTCTCGTCGGTCGGTTCCACTTCGTTCAATTTGCTCGTGCACTCGACAGATCCCGAATTTAAATAAGTTAACACACATTTTATTAATATACTAATGGAAGTTCGAGCGATGGTGATTTATGCCACGGTCTGCACTCTCTGACTCTCCATCCGAACTCTTTTCCACATTTTTCAATCTCTTTTATTTTAATGTAAAATATAAAATGCCTGCACGGATTTTGCCATGTGTGCGAGCGTGAGAGAGACAGAGAGAATCTCGTGGTTTGCTAAACAAAAAGCTATCACATCGCAAATGTTATACGAAATAATCGTAAAATTTACAACCGCATGAAAAATATATATTTATAAAATTTATTCAAAAACCCCTTGAATGTGCACTTTTTGATGTCGGTTACAGTTACCAAAACCAATGTCTAATTAGTTTTTATTTATGTATTAAAAATATAATTATATTCATACAAAATACATGTACGTGAAAATGCGCCCGAGTTAATGTGCGAGATTCTTCATATGTGCCTGGACATCAATTGAGAAGATGTTGAAAATAAACAGAAAAAACTGTGGACAAAAAATCGACGGGAAATTTAAATATTCCACCTTTTTCCATTTCTGCATTTGTATTTTGAACAAGAATTTCAAATATGACCCAAGTTTTGACTGTGTGATGGTTTAAGTTTCGTTTTTCAAATTTTCATCGTTAGAAATTGTTGTTGCTTCGAATAATTTATCTTGAATTTTATGTCAAAAAATATGTTGGAAAACAAAACAAAAATTGTCTTCGCATTGCATTTGAACTTATCGATATCTGCAAGACATTTCGCTTTTTGGGCTGAAATTGTGAGTCAATGATCGCATTTTCATCTACCTCCGAATTGAACCGGCAAAAAAAGTTCATATGCAAATTTCAATCCCTTAACACCAAATGTAGAGATGCAAGTACAACACACGTACGTTATTTGTACACATACATTTGTCGCATTTATATTCCCCAACGAAATAGGATCAACACTTCTTCTGACTAGAGCACAATAGATTAAAGTGAATGAAAAAAAGAGAGTCGCTGTGTTCAGATGTTCGAAAGAGTGTTTTTGAGGTGCAATGCCCATGAAGTTTTCATGCTATCGGATCTGCATGCACATTTGTCACCTGCAAATAAAGGCGATAAGGCTCTTTCTTCAGCAAAGCCGCTTCGATGCTTGTGCTTATGTGAATGCAAAGTAGCAAAAGCCTCTTCACGAACAAAAGAGGATCTGAATTTTATTTGAATAATTAAAGATGACACACACGAACACTGTGAACTTGCCTCTATTATTGCTGGATTCTTTTCATTTCGATGGAAGTAAATTATAACATTTTTTTATTGAAAATTCCAAGAAAGTTCGAATGATATGTGTTGATGAAGTGTTATCAATGGCAGATACTGAAAATCAATTATTTTCATCGAATAAATAGAAAAATTCAGAACATTTCGAATTTCGCTTCAAAAGTCTTCAGTCAAGACATCACTAGATCGGCACATTAGCCTAGACCACGATGGTTGGATGGTTGGATGGTAAGTCAAAACAATACGCTCAGTCTATTTCGTTGGTAAAAAGATAGAATAATTGCGGTTTGAACTTGTAATAGGTCAAGTCCACGCGGTTTTTCTTACGCCAGATGGCGCACCAATGATTGTTCAAGCTTTCAGTCGTGAGTCGAGTTAAAGCTAACATTTTTTAGATAATATTCTAAACGATGGGAAGAAAAAGAAATATAAATTTCATGATGGTTATGCATTTTTCAATTGCAACCAGATTTCAATGTATAATCGATTTCGATAATCAATTCTGGGTCATAGATAAATATCGATTTTATTTTGTGCCACAAAATTGAATGAAATATTCAAATGATATAAAATTTGTGTTAAATGTATTGCTCTTTATTGCCCGATGAATAATTAACGCAAATAATCTAACGAATAAAATTTCGATTGCATAGTGTTATGGTAACTGAACATGTTCGATTCGATATCAAAACATATCATGGCACACGGTAGTCTGTGATTTCGATACACACCGATGGCACGAACAGTGACGATATGGTGGTGTGCGTGATAAACGTTTGTGTATGCGTTATACAACAAACCAAACAAATCGTAGGCATGACATAAATAAATACAAGAGTGCTCAGTTAAGTGTGTAGCGCACCAAAATCGAAATGACAGCTGCGCCCAAACAATAAATTCTACGACCACTTTTTGTTTGTTTGGTGAAATTGAATAGAGTTTCTGCACTTTTGGCAAAAGAAAAATTCCATGCAAATTTTGTGTATTTTATTTATTAAAATTGCAACAAAAACAATTTGGAATTTTCAACGTTGAAACCAAATTTAGGATGTCCAACGCCAAGAAGTCTGACGATAACGCATGGAAAACACCAAATGAGGTTAATTTTTTGTTGTTTACAATTGTTTTAATTTGTGCTGGAATTTCGGAATTATTTTGAAATAGTGTTTTTAATCCATTTTTGTTATGTTTTTCTTTTTCCAAAATAAAGATTATCCGCTTGCAACGACTTAAGCAAAAACAAAAAGCATTACAAGCACGACTCGAGCGACCGGCTTACAATACTAGAAATTCACCATCCAAATTTAAAATCGCACCCAGCGAAAAACGAAAGAATCCATTCCTTGAGTAAGTACATTAACATGGACTAGTTTTTCTGACTGAAATTGAATGTTTATTTTTGGGTTAATTTTAGTGAACGATTTGCTTCGAATAAGAAAAAACCACGTCACAGTCTACCAGACACCACCGAATATGTGTCGGAAGACTCAGTATTTAACTTATTGGCAAATGCCAACGAAATTGTTGCGACTACGTCCAAAGCGCCACTGAATAAGAAAGAACTGAATTCCTTCGCAAATCTCATCAATCAAACAGATGAATTCGACGCAGATCCAGTCGAACAGACAGACGAAGAAAAGCCAACTAGTCATGTTCCAATTGATTGGAGCCTTAAAACCAAATTGCGACTTTTGAGCAAAAATCCGATTCCAGGAAGTCGGCTAAAGTGTAACGAAGAAGCAAGTGGAATTACAGGGTAAGTGTAATAATGGCATCTTTCATTTGAATATGAAGGCATTGAAGTGAATTTGCGTTTAATGCTCGACAGGTTTGTGCGCTGTGCCGACTTAAAGTCATCCGAGACGACTGGTTTAGATATTTCACCGGCAGCCCGGTTTCACCAGAGCACAATGTACTGGCAGCATCCGCACTTACCGTGGCTCACTTTATTTCCCCGGATGTCAAAAGCAAACATTGGCTGTACGATCGGTGAAGCAGAACGCAAGGCTCTGGCTCAAGATTGGGGTGATAGTTTTCGTGCATTGTTTCAGGTAATATTCAACATTAAAACACACCTCCCACTATGTCAATGGAAATATTTCAAAACGGAAACTGAATTTTATTTGTGTCTCTTTAGCTGGTCCGTTCACTACAATGTCCATACTTCTATGTTTGTGCAAATTTATTTACGGTGCTGTTTCGGGCTGCCGGCATTGGTGGTAAAGTTGAAACACATGCATTGCTAACGCCAACGTCACGTGGTTTGCGATCGGCTCTCAAAGAGGAAGACATTGAGTTCACGATGCCATTGAAGAAAACATCATCCGATGCACAGAACAAATCATTAGATTCCGGCAACGATACGCAAAGTAACAGTTTTTCCAATTTGTCGGAGGAAAATGGGGCTGAAACATCGACCGATGCAATAAACACAAGCGGCAACAATGACGAAGGCCTTGAAGCCGATAACAGTGATGAAGAGGAAGACGAGGAAAAGTGGTTGGAAAGTATGGGCGTGGATAAATCGGAAATCAAAAAGATTCGTACCACACATGCTAGACGCGTGCATAATGAAGAATGTGCCGAAGATTCGACCGATCAATCGATTTTATTGATCGAAGGTGTGGAGTGTCAGGCATTATTTAATTTTCTTCTGAATGCTAAAAGTACAACAACAAAAGTGGGCCGATTGGCTGGCATCCCACCGACGCTTATTGCACCCGTCGCATTTCCCGGTGCGACGCTACGAAACAACCAAATCCGTGCCAGTATTGTGCGTGAACAGAACATTGATTTTCACAGTATGGAGATCAAAGGTGTCATTTTGCCGCACACATTGCAATACCTGTGCAATTTGATGAAAGAGTCAAAGGACCAATTCAGTATGACCACAGTCAATTTTTCCAGTACAAATGCGCTCAGCAAAGCGGCACAAAAAATTATCGATGGTAAATACTCCACTTTTTTCGTATCAATTGATATCTTCAGTTGAGATTTTTTTTTCTGTTCTGAAAATCTATGAGGATTAAATTGAATTAATTTTTTTTTCAAATCCATAGATCTGAACAAGGAGAACAAAGAAGTGACCGCCGAAACGGTGTTTGGTCGAGAGAATTTGTCTGATTGTGGTCTACCACCATGTTTGCTTGAATCATTATGTCGTATCGGCAACGATGCCGTTCGTACCATTGAGCGGATGTACTTCGACAAAGAATCTGGTGGCTATATTTGGTCCGAGAAAAAATAGCACATTGCTTATGTTACCATCATCATAATTTACACATTGTTTTAGCTTCCCAATTTCTTCATAAGTTTTATCAATAATAAATAATTTATTTTCTTCAAATGTTATTTTAAATCACAATCGAAAAACAAAGTTTCAATAAATGAACGACTGAGAAGTGTGAAAAAATGAAGAAACGATTTGACTCATGTATTTTTTTTTGCAAAATAAAAACCGAAATCGCCAATTAAATGGTCCCTCCCTATAGCTATAGATGTCATTTATGATGAGTTTATCAAAATTGCAGTGTTCATATGAATGATCCGGCCAGTTTTCATATTTTGTCACAAGAGATGACAGAAATATCTATATGATTCTGAAACGATTGTCGGTAAATACTGAAACGATTGTCGGACTACTTTATATACATTTGTGTGCTTGAACTTGCTTGAGCTTGTTCAACGAAGGATTATTAATGTTTTTTTTTTTCAACTTTCATTTTTGACATATATTTTAGATCCGAACGACAAGATTCTGTCATTTGAACAAGATCTACAACTTTCCTGAAAACATTTTTTAAAAATTTCCACCTAGATTTCCAACTGTTTTGTAGTTATAGTCTCCCGGCAAAAATGGTTCTTTTCGACTTATAAACTCCGTGGAAATGCCCATAAAAATTGGTTGATTGAAAAAAAAGGAGATTTTTTTTTTAATATTTCGAGGGATGCTCTATCATTTTTTAATTTTCAACAAAATAATTTTTTCAATCATTGATCAGCTTAGTTGATTCAACCATAAAGGACTTTGAAGGACACATTTACTTGATACAACAAATGCGCACGTTTCATTGAACGCACTATCATTTATATTAGCTTTTTCAATGCAAAGCACTTGTTATGAAACAAAGGAAGAAGCAGTATCATAAACAAAAATTCAATCGCATCCCGATAATTTCATATTGTTAAAATAAATAAAAGAGACTAAAGATGATCCATTTGTTAAAGTTCCTCGTGATTGCACACATTATTTCGAAGTGCGCTACACTCAATCAAGACGAAATTTTCATTTCTGTTGGAAGAATGTTGCCAGACAATTTGCAATATTTGTCTATTCGATGCGAACGCAGTGCATTGACCAGTTTGAATGAAACCCAACGAATTATCCACTCAAAATTTGATGTCAAATACAGATTCTGGTTCTTCCATAAAGGTAAATTTCTCACCGTTATTCCAACACAAATCCAAACATTCAAATGTTGCATTTTGCAAAGTTTCAAATTGTTTGCTTTTTTTGGGCAGAAGACGATGGCACCAACGTTTTGATCCATAGCGATACTGGGCTCCCCATAGTGCTAAACAACGACAAGGTGGATAGGATTTATGCAGCTTCGATATATATGATTGCTACATTCGGGTAGGGTCAATAGTGATGCCGCACGAAAAATAAACATTCGTTTTTTTTAAAATATTATTAGTTGCAAAGAACGAAGTTGAACAGTTGACTTACTTTGTTCCATGTCTCATCAATAGATACACATTACCGACGGTAATTTACCGTCAATAAGGAACAATCAAGTTCAGAATCTGAACAAAAGTCTGTGTTTTTTGTTTCATTTTTTTTAGAAAATCAGAATTAAAATTTTAGGTATCAATAATAATAATAAGTTCATCAATCCTCCAATCTTCGTACGAGTGATAGGGCAAATATCGACAGATGATGATTGAAATTTTGCCTTGTTTCAGTTCTTTTATTGCGATCTGGATTGGATCGGTTTCGTTTTCCAGTTCAACCATGATCGGTGCACACATGCCAATTTGTAGCACTGTACATTTATAAAAAAATTTCAAAACAAGTTTTTACCCAAACTTAGTAGGAAGGATTTTGAAGGACACATTTACTTAATACAACGAATGCGCATGTTTCATTGAACGCACTAGCCTTTATATTAAATTGTTTTTAAAATGTTGGTGGCACTTCTCATGAGAAGAAGAAGCAGTATCATCACCAAAAATTATATTGGTTCGCATCCTGATAACTTTATATTGTTGAAATAAATAAAAGAGTCTAAAGATGATCCATTTTTCAAAACTACTCGTGATTACACTCATTATTTTGACGTGCGCTACACTCGATGACAACCTAATTTTGATTTCTGTTGGAGGCCTAATGCCAGACGGGCAATATTTGTCTATTTGATGCGAACTTAGTGCATTGACCAGTTTGAACGAAATCCAACGCATTATCGAGAAACAATTTAAAACCACATCTGAATTCTGGATCTTCGAAAAAAGTAATTCTCAACTTTATTCCAACACACATCTCAACATTCAAATGTTGCATTTTATAAAGTCTCAAATTGTTTGCTTTTTTCTTCTACAGTATTTGATGGCTCAAACATTTTGATCGATAGTGACGCCGAGCTCCGTGCAGTGGTAAATATCGCCAAGTTCAATAAGATTAATTATCTGGAGTAAAGTTGTAGAAGACCTCTATTCAAATAACTTCACACAAGTTTGTACCAATTCGTTAGCTTTTATCAATTTGGAGAAACACTAAAAATTTCGATGCCCCACAAAAAATAAACATACATTGCATTTAAAATTATTGATTGCAATCAAACAAACTTCACTCCATTGATAGGAAGTTTAGAACAGTTGACTCACTTTGTTTTACGTCTCACCGATACTACCACATATTACCGCCAATAAAGAACAATCCATTTCGGAATCTCAACAAAAGTTTGTATGTTTTGTTTCGTTTATTTAGAAAATAAGAATTAAAATTTACGTTTAGGTATCAATAATAATAAGTTCATCAATGCTCCAATCTTCGTACGAGTGATCGGGCAAGTATCGACGAATGATGATTGGAATTTTACGTTGTTTCAGTTCTTTCATTGCGATTTGGAGTGGATCGGTTTCGTTTTCCAGTTCAACCATGATTGGTGCACACATGGCAATTTGTAGAGCACGCGTTCCCAACACACGAGCTCGTTCGTATCTAAATTGAATGAAAGCAAAAAACCATTGAAATAGTATGCTAATGTCAAATCGATGCAAAGGTAGAAGTGTTAAACTTACTTGGTCATGTATCGTGTGGTAATGCGTTTGTTTTTTGGTACACCGCCGCCTTGTTGTCCGGGTGCGATGATTTCAAAGTTTTCCGCTTCTTCTTCCTGATTCAAGTCATCAATGTTATCGTCGTCTTCAACATCATCGAAATCATCACCACCAACACTGCAGAGAATATTCGAGAAAAATACATTTGGTTATCAATGAATGGTTCACAGTCGGCCTTTTCAGTAGCACACAATTTATGGCAATTTTTTTTAATACTATCCCCATGATCTAATTTCATTCAACTTCGGTGGAACAAACTCTGCTGTATCATGTATTTGTGTTAGAAGTTGGTAGAAATAGTCAATGTTCGGATTAAATGAGGCATTTTTTTGTTAATTTCATCATGTTGCCAAAACCTGACTCCGTTGAGGTTAGAACCAATCAAATGTAATTTTTCCAGGTTTTCAATCACAAAATCGTTTACTTACTCATCGTTATCATAATCACCGTCATCCATGGTTCAAGTAAAATCAATTAACAACTGGATTTAATAAAGTTTTTTTCAGCTTTTCGACTGTTTTTTTCCGCTAAATATCCAAAAAAATTTACTCTCTTTCACAGCGAACCAAGACTCAGAACGTCATAACACAAACTAATGTTCGAAAGCTGTCACACGCTTTACCAACCGCATTTCGAAAATGACAACAGCGCCAGTAGTACCACTGTTCGCCGTAAACGTGTGTGTGGTTTTGACATTTCGAACATGTGGATTGTTGATTCCATTCCGTTCAACGTTAAAATGTGTTTTTGCCGTGTTGAAAACCCATGAAACTGCTACACACAACATTGACTGAGCGAAAAGAATAATAAAAATTAGTTTATACATAATCAGTGTCAATTATGGCCGATATTGAAAGCGATAAAAAGAAGGAGCACCGAAAAAAGCAATCCGGTTAGTATTTTGTTTAAAATTTTAATAGAAAAAAAATTGCTCCCCGTGTAGGAATAATGTGAATTTCGAAACTGTTTTCATTGTAGGTGTGAGTGCTGACAAGAAGAAAGCAAAAACGAAACAAAAGGATGATACGCTCAGCGCTCGACAACGAAATCCAAAGGCGTTTGCCATCCAATCAGTGGTTCGAGCTGAGCGTAATTTTCGGCGCGGTGAAGATTTAACAGCCAAAAAGCAGCACATACCGATAGTCGATAAAACGTCCAATGATGTACCGCCAATTTTGATTGCCGTTGTTGGTCCACCAAAAGTGGGCAAAACCACATTGATCAACAACTTGATTCGCAGCTTTACCCGTACAAATGTGACAAACATTGAAGGCCCGATTACGATTGTAACGTCGAAAAAACGTCGCATCACATTGATTGAATGTAAAAACGACATAAACGCCATGATTGATATCGCCAAATGTGCCGATCTGGTGCTGCTGATGATTGATGCTTCGTTCGGTTTTGAGATGGAAATCTTCGAATTTTTGAACATTTGCCAAGTGCATGGAATGCCAAAAATTATGGGTATTTTAACACATTTGGATGCAATAAAGAATGCAAAATCATTGAAACGACGCAAGAAAGAATTGAAACATCGTTTTTGGACCGAAGTATTTGATGGCGCTAAATTGTTTTATCTATCGGGCATATTGCATGGTGAATATTTGCGGAATGAAGTGAAAAACCTCAGCCGATTTATATCGGTAATGAAATTCAGACCGCTCACTTGGCGCGGAACACACAGTTACATTTTGGCCGATCGGATGGAAGACATCACCAATACGGAAGAGATCCGTTTGAATCCAAAATGCAATCGAGAAATTATTCTCTATGGATATGTTCGTGGTGTGCCAATGGTGAAAGAAAATATGGTTCACATTGCTGGTTTGGGTGATATGCGGGTGCATGAGATGAGCACATTGCCAGATCCATGTCCACTACCAACCGGTGAAAAGAAACGAAACCTAATGGAAAAGGAACGTTTGTTGTACGCTCCAATGTCTGGCGTTGGAGGCATTGTCTACGACAAAGATGCCGTTTACATTGAACTGCAGGGATCACACAGTCATAAAAAAGAAGTTAACACCGAACAAGAGGAAATTGTTCAGGACTTGATTGGAAAGAAAGAAACGTTCGATACGCAAATCGAAAGCCAAGAATTCCGTCTGTTCAGTGATGGTGCTGTTATAAAATCCAAGGAATTTCAAGACGACTTCAGACCAGAGTCCGATGATGATGATGAATCAGAAAGCGAGCAAGAGAGTGACGATGATTCTGGAGTGGATGAGGAGGATAGCGATGGCGAACAGAATGGCTTGGGATGGAAAGGCGATAGCGATGGTGAAGATGACCCAAATGAAAATGGTAAGAGAACGATAAGAAAAAAAAGAAGTGTTGACTTGAATATCAAACGGTTGGAATTTAACAAAAATTTCCCATTGATCAGATGCAAGTTCAGACGATGATGAGTATCAACTGTCCGGAAATGTGGAGAAAGGCTCGGAAAATGGAAGTGACAACGATGAAGATGGCGACGATGACGAACAGATGGATGCCATGGAGAATGGTTTGAACTGGAGAGACAATTTGGCGCAAAAGGCTCGTGCCGCCTACTTGGAACGACAATCGAATACACAAAATCTTATGAAGATTGTTTATGGTGCCATAAATGCGGTAAATATTCTACCTTTTTTCAAATCCAATCGAATAGATATTGGGAATCGAATCGAATTTGTCGAGAATAAGCAAATAAAAACCGTTTGTAAACTAATTTTGATACAGGAAAAGCGGAGAGAGCGTGAACAGAACGAGGATAGTGAGTCGGATGAAGATGACAAAATCGGTGGAATGTTCAACGTGATCGCCAGCAAACAGGCCACTTTGCATAGTGACAAAGAATATCGAGATGCATTCGAATCGTGTTTCTTCGAAGAATACGGTGCGGACACCAGAGATTGGAGTATCGAAGAGAATAGGGGCCTTATCAAAGACTGTTTTGTAACGGGTAAATGGAGAGAATCGGAAGATGCACAAGAGTTGCTACGTCTGGACGATTTGAGTGATGACGATAGTGAAATCTACGGTGATTTCGAAGACTTGGAAACGGGTGAAAAGCACAAAGGCAAGAAAAGTATTGCACCCGAAGCCGATGATGGTCATGATGAGTCTGGCGATGAAGAGAACAATACCGCGGAAAATGAGCAGTCACGCAAACGTAAAATGACTCGTGTCGAAGAGTCGAATCTAACGAAAACCGAACTAATGGCAAAAAAGATGAAATTGAAGGCTCAATTCGATGCCGACTACGATAACAAAGATGATGGCCGCATCAAGGGCGACCATCAATATTATGAAGAAATGAAAGCAGCGGCCAATCGTCAATCAGAGTTGAACAAGAAAGAATTCGAGAATCTGGACGACGATTTACGTCTTCAAATCGAAGGCTTCCGTTCTGGACTGTACGTTCGTTTAGCATTCAAAAATGTTCCCTGCGAATTTTCCAAAAACTTTGATGCAACCTATCCAATTTTGATTGGTGGCCTTAATATGTCTGAAGAGAATATCGGCTATGTAAATTGTAAAGTGAAGAAACATCGTTGGTACAAAAAACTATTGAAAACCACAGATCCATTGATCTTGTCATTGGGTTGGCGACGTTTCCAAACGATGCCGATATTTGCCAAAGTCGAAGATGACATGAAACATCGGTATCTCAAATACACACCGAACCATGTAACATGTAGCATGACTTTTTACGGGCCAATCACACCACAAAACACTGGATTCTTGGCTGTTCAGACCATTCAACAGAATACCGAGCAAATGCGACGGCTCGGTTTTCGCATTGCTGCCACTGGCTGTGTCACCGAAATAGACAAATCCACACAAATTATGAAGAAATTAAAATTGGTCGGAACACCGTATAAAATATTCAAAAAGTCTGCATTCATCAAGGGCATGTTCAACAGTAATTTGGAAGTGGCCAAATTTGAGGGTGCCAAAATTAAGACCGTATCTGGTATACGTGGTCAAATTAAAAAAGCAAATCAAACGCCCGAAGGATCATTTCGTGCTACATTCGAAGATAAGATTCTATTGAGCGATATTGTCTTCTGTCGGACCTGGTTTAAGGTTGATGTACCGAAATTCTATGCACCCGTGACGAATATGCTGTTGCCACCGAGCAAAAAGAACCAATGGATTGGAATGAAAACGACTGGCGAATTGAAGCGTGAACGAAATGTCAGAGCCAAACCAAATTCCGATAGCTTATACACGGTACGTACATAGCTTATATGGTAGAAAATGACGAACGGTTCAAATTAGTGCTAAATTTAAACATTTTCTCAATTTTTTTCTCCACAGAAAATTGTTCGTCCACCGAAGCAATTCTATCCGTTGCATATTCCAAGAGCGTTACAGAAGACACTGCCATACAAGGATCGACCGAAATTGGGTCCAGCCAATCCAAAGAAGCCTATCGATAGTAATCGTATTGCAGTGATTCATTCACCACACGAGCAACGTGTGGCCAACATGATGAAGATGATCAAAACCAACTTTGATGCGAAGAAAGAAAAGACTAAGAAAGAGACCGAAATACGTGTTAAAAAATTCAAAGAGGCCAAGGTAGCCGAAGAAATGCGTCGTCTGAAGCGACAGAAAGAGCTGCGTAAAAAGATTTGCCGAACGATTAGCAAAATGGAGTCGTCGAAAGCAGCGGGCAAAGATGGAGGTAGTGGTGGCGGCGGCGGCGGAGGAAAACGAAAACACTTCAAAAAATAAGTCGAAACAAACTGCTGACCCACTTCATTTATTTCATAAGGAAATCTAGAAGTTGAACAATATTACTTTTAATTAATGTTGATGAAATAAAATCGATTTTATTTTGTAAATTCTTATCGAAATATGTTGCTTTGTTTGTGTTGCAAAAAAATTGAGGTTTAAAGGCATCCATTGCCAGATTCAATAGATTTGAGTTGTGCCAAAAGTCTGCTCTTCTTTTGCGGATCGATGGGAGTGCGTTTTAGCGGTTTACCGGCCAAATTGATGTTAAAACGTGGCAAACAAGAATTCATCCTCGGTTTAGCATTTATTGGCAGCGGTACTTGGATTCCATTTGGTTTATCACCTTTATAGAGTAACAAGTTATTGATTGGCTTCAGCGTGCCAATTTCACTTGATCTCTCAACATCAAACAAAGACGAGTCCTTTGGTAGATTAAAGGTGATATCATGACTGATTTCATCGCAATGTAAATCCAATATGGCTTCATTTTTTTCGATATCATTTTGTATCTTCTGATGAATAGCATGAATGCTTTGTGCACCTTCGTTGGCAAAAAAATTGATGTCAGCCAATTGTCGAGCGATTTGCCGGTCCGAATCATCATTGCGAATGATGCATGTGTCTTTGTCGATAAGTTGCTTGATAACCTAAAGAAATTAATTGAAATAAAAGTGGAAAAATAATTTTTCGTTCAAAAATTGTACAAAATATTCCATTTTACCAAATCGTCATCATCATCAATGTCGACATTCAAATCCAACGGTGGGGTTTCTTCGCTAATAGCTGATGATGCACTGAGTAAAAGGCCATTGATATGCTTCGCCTGAAATGCACAATAATTAAAATATTTTTTTTCAAATGGGGCTATCATAAGCGAACCGCTTTTACATCTTTCACATCTTTGGCACTGCTGTAGTCCGAATCGACTGACGAACCGTTTTGCTTGTCCCCATTTTGCTTTTGACACAATTCTTTGTACTTCTTTCGTTCGTTGGCGAGTTGCATTTTAAAATTTTTGGCCTCTATTGTATTTCTTCGGCTGAGCATTTTTATCTCTTCCTCTTTTTCATTTAGTTTTTGCTCCAGTGACTCCACTTTTATCTGGAGCGTTTCTCTTTCCTCCAAATTTCTTGATCGAAATAGGAACAAATGTGAACAATCAATAAAATAACATGAATAAATAAAGTGTGTCTACTCTACCTTTCGCTGGTTAAATTGGTCAAATATTTCATACGATCGTTATTTTGCAACATTATTTTGTCCTTTTGCTGAAGCTTTTTGGTGAGCTCTCGATTCTGGAGGCTCAAAGCACGGTACTTGGTTTGCCAAACACGCAACTCTTCCGTATGAGATTTAATCAACTGCGGTAATTCACTCGTTGAACTCTCATATTTGATGAGAGCATTGTCTTGACGCTTTTGCAACGTTTTCAATAAACGATTTTCGTTGATCAATTCCTAATGAAATAATAATGGGAAAATGTATTGTGTTTTTTCACCAATTAAAATATGGTTAAATAATTGATGTGTACCGCATTTTGCTGTAGTGCCATATTCAATTGATTTTGTAACCCCCTATAACGATGCTGACGTGCCGACAAAACACGTTGCCGAATTTCCGAATTCAAACCACTGGCCGGCCCATTGGTTATAAATCCCGCTTGGCGTGTCTGCGTTTTGCGTTGCAACATCCGAGTCTTTGAATTTAAACTCGCTGCAGAATATACACTTTCATTTTTCTTTGACGATGAACTGGAACTGTTGGATTCCCATTTAAAATGCAATTTTCTCAATTTAAAACATGATTTATTCAAATTAACACATCAAAGAACAAAAATCCCTTCACAACTCACTTACCAGTCACTTTTGGCTATTCCTTTGATTTCAATCGATGACGCTGACATACTTTTTCCTTGCTGAAAATACTGTGCGTTGGTCACCAGACTGTCTCTTCATAAATTAGCACCTTGTTATTCTGTATGCACTTTGCGATATGCGGATTGTGTCTGTTTTCGCCGCGAAATAAAAAACGACTGTTTGTTTGCAACGTTGCTTAGGTAACAATGTTCATCTGTGTACCAAAAATCAACAAATCGATATAATTGTTGGATCGCGTGCTTTTGCCGGCAATTTGCTTTTTTTTTGTTAGATCAATAAAAAGTGTTCAAGAGCAAAAAATGCGTCGTGGTGGATGCGTTTAAAAAAAAAAAAATTCGGTATGTGACTATGATTTCGGTGTGTAACGTATTTCTCGATGCGAAAAAAATTCCTGACAACATTTTGAAACAGCGCCTATTCAGATTCGTTCATACATTTCGAGTTCGGCGCATCGCAGAAACAATTCAAATTCATTGTTCGAAATGAAATTCGAACATGGAATCGGGTAACTACATGTATTGAAAACCAAGGAATATAGCTATCGCAAGTGTCAAAAACCACTACAAACAAACACGCACATTCCATGCGTGTGTACACGACAACCACGACGACGGCGACGACGATGACGATGGCTGAGTGTTGCATGCCCGAGCACTGATTCGCGTGTACTCACGATGGACTGACTGACTGACTGACTGGCTGGCTGACTGTGTGCGATTGTGAGTATGTGTGTTTTTCTTTCGTCACACAACGTTTACAAAAATCTTAGTCATAGCCGAGAATGAATGTGTGTATGTTTTGGTAATATTATTATACCGCATCGTGTACACCGCCGCCGCGCGCTGCCACAGACTCAGTTGTGTGTGCTCTCGGCCAAAAGAAGACACATAGACAAGTATCGATACACACTATACGACTTGAATCTTGTCATCAAAACACTCACATTCGATTTCCAACTAGATGTATTTCATATTTACATTCACTTCATTGCTGTAGTTCCTTTATGGCGGATGTTTTTTTTAATTCACGCATTTGGCGATTCTTTTTTGTATTGTCTTTTCGTGTGTCTTCAGAGAAAACAACCAATTTTACCACATAACAACTATAAATAGTAGTGTGTCTGTCTATTGTGTGCAGTGTGTCTCTCAAATGAAAATGTACGGAAAAATGTGTGTATTTTAAAAAGCCTTGCATTGCCGAACACCTGTGATACAAATTGCTTCTACTGTTGATTCTTGTTTTCTATTCCATTTTGAACATTTAAAAAAACGAACACAATTTATTGTGTATCTTTCTTTTTTTTGTTTGAATTTAAATTAAATCATTCATCGTTTTATTCGCTGCTTTTTTTCTGAAAAAAAAAATTTGGTTTGAATTGTGCTATTATTCGGAAACCGAAACTACTTTTTTTTCTATCGCAACAACGCATTGGAATGGAATATATCAAAAGCCGAGATTTATATGAGAAAATTTGAATCGGCGAACATTTGAGTGCATTGCTCAAAACTGCAGCTAAAAGGTGCGCCAACAAAGTGCAATTTAATAGTTTGTAGTCACAGACGGTTGAGTGTGATAAGGAATCACTCGCTACGGCAATAGGCATGCATTACGTTTCGATTAAATGATTCGAATATACGTGAGAGATCTAAGCTAATTGATTGTATTGCATTGAGTGTTTGTGTTTTTGTTTTTTCTTACTTCATTATTATTTTTTTTTTTATTTTAACCATTTTGTAACGAAGAAGCAGTGCGGCAGACGTATTGAAAACAGAGACGCCAAAATCCATAAAGCGCAAATAAACAAACAAATTAAAAGAAAGAAGAGAAGAGAAAAAAAAATCAACACCTACCCATAGTGTATCGATTGTTTTAGTTTTGTGAGGCAACTTCGAGAATCTTTGTGTGTGCAAAAGATTTTCTCCTTCGTTTTTGTTTTTGTTGTATTTTAATTGGAATTGTGTTCGGTTCAGTCAACAACAATGACGCGACTTACAGAGGAAATGGTAATCGCACGATCCAGGCAATCAGATCTTGGCTCAATCAAAAAACTCAATTGCTGGTAAGATGAATGTACACATATAGTAAATGCAAATAGAAAGAGACGTGAAAATGTCACACAGAATAAACATACATGAAATATGAAGTTGGGTTTAATGCAATACGAAGAGAATTAATCACGGGTTCGGGTGAATCGAGGACGAGTGCAACGACAAAAAAAAACAACAACAACAACACACACACACACACACACACCGTTGTTAAACAAAAGAATCGTCGCGCGATCGCAAATATTGTAAGCATGTTTGCAATTCCTGTGTGTTCTTTTCCGCAATCAAAACACAATCTAACAGTTGGCTGCGTGAGTTTTTTTTTGTGTTCGTTCATCTTTTTTTCTCATCAAAGCGATTGTTTGCGCGTTATTGCTTTGCGAACGATGAACGAAAGAAGAAATAAGAAGAAAAGCATGATGCTGTTCTTCAAGTGAAATGGGAAGAATGAAAAATCTGAGTACATTGACTATCCCGGGTACAGTTACAATATGAAAACGGTAAAACAAGCCGATGGAGCGGGAAACATTGACGCACAACAAGAGGCCCAATTCAATGCATGGCGCACTTACACACGCGGGATGTTGAGCTAACAAAAAAAAACAGCAAACGCAACAATCAACAGCCGTAAAAATGATGAGTAGAACAATTTTCGCCGTTGCCCGATTCTTTGCACGCAACGTTCTCATCGAGATATAAAGAGTTCCTCTCTTGAGAGAGAGAGAGAGAGAGAGAGAGAGACCATCTCATAAGAATAAGAGATCGTGTATACACTCACTGAATGTGCGATAGTGATGATGATGATCATGTGTTTTTTTTTTCGTTATTTTTGCGTTTATATTACCTTAAACTCTTTCGTTACATCCACTCGATCCGTTGTAAATTATATGGTACGAGCCAATTTTATGCTGCACTCTTTCGCCCGTGTAACCAACATCTTCTTCCGAATTCGGGCGGCCGATGAACGGGCAATTGTGCGCTCTCATTTGTGTGTATGTTTGATTTGAAATGAGGCAACGCAGAAAAAAAATCGCGTTACGATGGCAAAAACACACCCTACATACACTTTGATTTGCATTTCACGATGACATATTTAGCACGCACCTTAACTTATCCCATTGAATCCTTTGTCCTGTTTGCGTCGCTGTGCGCTGTGTAAACCCCTTGAAAATGTAAATGCTCCAAAACAATGTTCTCTTGTTTACGACGTTGACCTGACCTCGTTTTCTGCCCCAAAACATAATTCAAACCAAAAATCGTCGAAAACCGTTTTTTTCTTTTCGGTTTCACATCGAAATGAAAATGATGTAGGGATTTTTTCGGTGGCCTATACACATTTTGACGTTAAATGCCAGCCCAAAAATACCTGAAGCACATGCTTTTTTCCGGCTTAGCAACCTGTAAGTCGCCAATTAAATGGTATTCTTTTTTATTTCATTTCTTCGTGCAGGAAGCACGCACAGGAATCTAGGCATAGTTTCTGTGCCATAATTAATTCAAAACACAGTTATGATCGATCAATGTGATATATATCAAACGAAGTATTCTTGGAAAATTGGTGTCAACAAATGCAATTCTAACATACGTTTGACACCTAGTAATTTATTAATTGTGATTGAACTATATTATTCATCACTGTACAGCCAAATGAATGTACATATTATTACTTTGGTTTGGTTATCGGTCGGACATGGAACATTTTCGAATCGTTTTAGTATTGACCATTGAATTTTATGTGCAATTTTGATTTGAACGAAAAACAAAACACGCAAATCGAAAGCAAAAGCACATATGCACGCATTGATATGGTTTCATTGGAATCAATGATCAAACGTCCCATTCGAAATCGATACAATTAACCTCATTCAAGGGGAAATCTTGCCATCCATGAAGATAGTTCTACTAATTTTCCGCGAAAAATAATAATAAAACAGCGACAAACGACGAGCAAAAAAAAAACTCAAGTGGAAAAGTGTCGAGGAAAAACCCTTTCAAGCGTGTGTAACCATTTTCGACAGAATTTGTATACAATTACCCACAAATATCCAATTACCAGACCTATCGACTGTGTGTGTGTGTGTGTGTGTATGTGCGCGAGCCACCATTTATATGGAAATACTCGGTTCATGTTGTTTTTGTTCGATTCCATTTTTGTATTCGCATAATCTGAATCAAACGATTGTTAAACGATGTTGCGTGCACGTGGTGGCATTACGCTGCTTGAAACAAAAGCCTTTCGGGCGCAAGCACTCGTCGAAAGCCACTTGAGTTGCTATTGAAAAAATGATTCTTATTATTCATGTAGTGAAATTCATTTCGATTTGAATTAATCAGCATTTTATTTGATCGATGAACTGAAGAAAGCCGCCACTTCAGTCGTTCTTCCATTCTACATTTGCTTTACGCAACGCGATCGATTTCAGTAGGCCATATTGTTGCGATATTTTGATTCAGTTTTTATTTTAGCCCACTACTATTGATGAAACAGATTCTTTGAAATTTCGAAATATGCTTTAAGGATGAAATATCCAGGCTAATTTGTTTACGCAAAGACCAAACATGTCATCAGATCTAAAAAAAAAAAAAAATTAAAAAAAAATGCATACATATAACCGACGCTTTAGTGTATTTTATTGTTGAATACGAACGAAAAAAAAAGATTGTTTGCTCGCTCTATACCCATTTATGGCCATAAAATGCGCAGCGACGGAGCGAAAAATGTCGTCATTTAGCCTCCTACCCGATGATTTTCAACAAGTGTCACACTTTTACATATGCCACATCCACTATGAATTTCATCCGATAAATAGCGACGAATTTTTAGCAGCTTGTCATGTATTCGCGGCAGAACAGCATCCATCGACGATTGCTTTTTTTGTTCAATTTTAGCCTTAGCGTTGGCTTTCAATGTGTTTAATTTTGTGTTTTATTCTTGTCTTTTCGTTTGGACATTTCGCTCGTTAGCTGACTCACTCGGTAAACCTACCCGTTGGATTAATTTTCTATTTTGGCAACCATATTCAAGTTGAAATTAAACTATTTTCGTCTGATTTTTTTTTTGTTTCTTTGCGTTTACTTCGATTGAACATCACCAGGGGCAGCGAACTCAGCGACGTAACGATTATTAGGCGAATGCGTGGTGTGGAGGTGCTAGCATTGAGGTAAGTTAACTAAAATAGAGATGAATATATTTCCATATTGGCTGTTATTGCATTGATCTACATACATTCAGCACGTTCAGTAGTTCAATATATAATGGCATAAGCGCAACAACAACAGCGACAGCAGTGGCAGCAGCAGCAAAATTGTAAAGTGAAGAATAAAAAAGAACAATCACATTGTGGAACGATAGCATGATAATGCACAATAAGCCGAAACGAATGCACGTACACAGATGTGCATATGAATAAATAATCGAATTCCATTGATTTGCAATTTACTTTTTTATGATAAGAACTTGGTATTCATCGTTTTATTTTATGCAAAAGCTTCGAAAAATCGTAAAGTCGGGCAAAGTTATTAAATTGGAGCGACAACTGTCGGTTGATGTAGAGTGCTGCATGCACTCTTCAGGCAATTTAGGTTGTAAAATGTGCAACAAGTTGAGTCAGTAAAATGAAAGAAAAAAAAAGAGCAACGACACGATAAACAGCCGATATTCCGTTGCAGACCTTCCTGGATTTTATTGATCGTGAAACGTATAGTCGCTTTGTTCGTTTATGCAATATCTGGTTGAACGGAACAGACAGAGTTTGTCATATATAGATTGAACACATTAGCCGTGGTTAGATTATATGGCGATCATCATCATGTTTACTGAGTAATTTGTTGAGCAAACTGCCTTTACCAAGTGCGAAAAAGACAGACAATCGCATATACTGGACTATGTCAGCTGAAACTGAAGAAGATACACGACACAGTGTAAACACTCTTTTTTACGCTTGCGCTTGCTTCTTGATTTGGTTACACACATTGACATTTCATTACCGACATACGAAGCAATTACAATTGTCAATAAATCGTTGGTTTATTTTTACTTTCTAATGAATTATTCAGTTCCATAACGGTGTTTTTACACACGCTTAAGTGCATATAATCGCGCAATTGTATGTCCCTTGTGCGGTTTTGTTGTAGTCATCAACATCGTCCAGCGACCGGCACATTCACTATTATTGAATACCATCCATATATATGTGTGCATTTAATGGCCCTGCATGCTTTAAATTCTAAAATGGACAACGACCACAACGAAAACAAAAACAAAAGTAATTTCAATCATTGTGAGCCATGCTTTATTAATGGAGGAGGCACATAAAGATAGTAATGGAGGGAACAAAAACGAAATTTATGCGGGTGCTAACCGTAGTAGCCAGAAACATTATGCAATGAGCTTAAAATGTGTAGCAAAATGCTTCTATTTCTATAAGAGAGAGAGAGAGAGAGAGAGAGAGAGAGAGAGAGAGAGAGAGAGAAACGAAGCGGTCAGAATCAAAATTACTTCTTCGACTTCATCACCGATGTTCGTTTTTTGTTGTTGTTTTTGTAAGTTGAATGAATGAGATCGTATTTTATACTTATAACGTCAGAACGAACAAATTAAAAACGGCGAACGCAGTCATGTAGAGGAACGAAACAAAGCAGAAAAAAACGACCGTAATGTGTGTCTTGAATGCACAAAACATAAAAAGTAAAAACCGCAACATTCAAGACATTATGTGTTCACAAAAGCAAAAAAAAACGAGAAAAAAACGAAAACTGCAGAAAAAGCGTTGGAACAGTGTCAGCGCATCATATTTTGTTCCGATTTCTTTTTGGATGTCCAATATAAAAACAAAACCGAATGACCTTGCCCATCGAGGTCCATATATGGGCGACTGGCTGGAACTTCGTATGTTTCGCACTTGTTCATTATTATGTCGACGGCGACGGCGATGTTAACGAATGAAATCAACAACAACGAAAAAAAAAACTTTGCATTGAGTTCTATACGAGCAACACAACATGAAACAACGAACTACGTATGTAGGAGCCGCTTAATGAGAAAATAAAACATGCACGTTTTGTGTTGAAAAGCATAAGTTTTTATTGGAAAAACGAATAATTCAAGTTCACACACAGTCATGTTAATGGGTGAATGTCACAATTGTCACAAGCATTTTCTATTCATTCAGAATAGAAACGCAATTGAAATGGATCCGATGAATTGAAGAAGAAATTTTACCATCAGCACACACACACACACACACACACACACACACACACACACACACACATATATCTAAAATTCATTTTTTCCTCGAATGAATTTTAATAGAAGCGAAGAAAAAAAAAACAAACTGATCTGCGTCGAATGAAGCATTGTTTTTTCGCCTGATGCACACGATAAGTAAGATTCAATTGACGACCAGTCGTGCGAGGTTTGATGCTTAATTTATTTGTAATATGTGTAAATTAAATTTCCTCTTTTCAACTCTGATGATGAGTATGCGATTATTAATCGCGCTGAACAAACTCCACAAAGATGAAACAATAAAATTTTATTTTGAAAAGAAAAAGAAGAAGCAGAAGACAAATAAAATGTTCACTATCGACTCGAAAGCTTCACATTGTGTACAAAATTGATGCCACGAATAAATTTCACATTTACAATGTAAAGTGAATAAAAAAAAATTATAATACAGCCAACTATATCTATCGCTCTGCGTCGATGGGGCCATGCTAAAAAAGCACAACGTTCGCTATTTATCTATTTCATTCATTTTCTTCTCTTTCTGTGTGTTTTTTTTTTACATAAAATCAAAAACCGTTAGATTATAACGATTACATTGTGATGTTGCTTTCTACACCGGCACGGCGCAGTAACCCGACCAACAGCGTAATAAACGTTTCACTAACAAAATTTTCTAGGCAAAATTTTACGCCAATGCTTTGGCTACACATCAAATTCAATGGTATGAAAATGGGCTTGAATGTCAACTCGACTCTCTCTCTTTCTCTCTTGAATGAGATTATATTCGAAATTTTGCGGTTTATGTGATGTCGTCGTCGTTGTGAAATACGAAAATAAATCCAGTTCCCATTTAACGAAATCAACGAAGAAAAAGAAGAACACTCAAACTGCAGCCAAAACCGAATGAAAAGAATCGACAACGAAATTAATGATAAAAATCAATGCTCCGTTTGCGTTACGCTATTGATTTTGTTGTTGTTTGTGCATTTTCAAGTTCGATCGATATGCGGCTTTCTTGCACATCGTGAATATTTGCATATACATATGTTCTCTCTCTCTCTCTCCGTGTGTGTGGCTGTTGTCTCTTTTTCAAAGTCTAGAAATGTTCGCTTATGCGTACTTTCACTACACCATCATTAACCTCTTTAGTTTCGCGTTCGTTCAGTCCCAATTTCATGTATGCAATTTCGGGCAAGTTCTTGCCACGACTCCAAATGCGGTCGTTGCTGCTCTCGCTTGCCTCTGCTGCTACACAAATCAAAAGCAACTGAAATGTTATTTTTGGCACAATCAAATTGATTCGGAACAAATTCCGATTCTGATTGCCATCAAATATAACTATTTATATGTCAAATTCGGCAATAATACAATATACTAATGTGTGACCGTAAATAGCCATAACCAATCCGCTTAATTCTTCGCATATATCACAGCATGGAGAGCCGCTGGTGTGTGTGTGTGTGTGTGGTTTTTATTCATGTTCCCTTTTGACCAAACTCCATTTTCCATGTAATTAATAACGGGGAAAATAGCAGGACACCGAAGAAACGAAAAAGAAAAAAAATTATGAATGTAAAGCAATTTGATGATGTCATTTGCTAAAAAGAATTCGTGTGTCGGTTTCGGTCGTTTGAGCTAATGCTATGTCTGTCGCACGTAGATAGTAACAGATGTCCCATTAATGGAAGAAATAGAAGAATGAGCGGCAACAGCACCGCATCGCACCAGCAGGTATGAAAACACAACACTTTACAACTACATCGAATAGTCCTGTGTGTATATACCTTTCGCCTCCATTCCGATCAACACACACACCGAGTCTCCAGTGTATTTCTATTCCGATGGTCGACGACAACGCAACTGGAGTGTAGGTTGTTTTTGAATTTATTTATTTCAACAAAAAACACAATCTTGAAAGGAAAAAAAACACAACATCAAAGACTAAACAACGAATTCAATTAATGTTGTATTCAAAAACAAAACATACCGCTAATAGAGATGATTTCAGTTAATGGGCACAATCTATGACTCGGACGATTCTCTTTTCACTTTTTAATGTAGTTTTTCAGTATCAAGTGAATTAGAAGGTTTTTTTCTGAAAGAAAAACAAACTTCATCGAATATTTGACATTCCATTCACAAGAGTCATTGCACAAAGCGGGAGAATCAGTAGAACCGATTAAAGTCGTTGATCCAAAATAAAGTTTGTGTTCAATATCATGAACAAAATGCCAATGAACGGTATCACATGCGTATTATGTATTTACAGTCGATGCCACACTCAATTCAAATTTCAATATAATGTGATTGTGTACATATGCCGGTGCCCTTTCATCATTTGGTATTCAACAATATCGATCCAATGCATTTTTTTTTATCATTTTCATTCGATATTGCAAAATATCGGCTTTCATATCAGTAAATGAACAAACAACATAATGTAAACATAGTAATGTCAACGAAAAAAAAATTCGCACAATTTTTTTGGTGAATATTTAAATCTTGGAAGATGTACCGAAATGACTTCGGATAGGTCGAATTGTAGATTTAATTTAGATTAATGTAGTATGTTTACTTTTTTTATATCGGATTTTTTTGAGTAATCTGCTATCGATAAACTGCTATTAAATGGAAAAACTGAAATCTTGGTAAAAAAAAAAAAAACGTATTTTCCACAAATCGCATTTTTTTCCAAATGAAGAATGGTTCCATAGAATCGAAGATAAAATGTAAAAATCAAATCAGTCATCCGATTCAGTATTTCGATGACCGATTACTACAGAAGAAATTTTCTATTACTTTACATTAATCTACATGAGTTCTACAATTGAAAACGACCTCGATCCGAAAACAGTTCGGCACATCTTCCAAGATTTAAATTTTCATCTAATTTTTTCAATGAATTTCGACCAGAAAATTGTTTCGAACAATTTCAAACAAAAATAATTTCCAAACACTTATTCGAACTGTTGTTCGTTTGAAACAAATTTTTGTTCGAAATGTACCCAAAACAATTGTCTGGTCGAAATTCAGGGAAAAAAAATTGTGCGAAATGTTGTTCGTTGACATTACTATGAAACACCACAAATTTATCAACCGAAATGAAAAAGAAATGAAGAAAAAAAATAATTGCACCCGTTGAAAATGGCGAAGTCATGATGAAGTTCGTTGACACACTAGGTTATTGTTCGATTTTCATTTTTCGATGGGTAAAAAAAAAATTTCGACTAAAAAATTATATATGAAATGCTAGGAAATGATCAACGATGTTACATTTTGGAGAAAATTTGAGAAAAAAAAATGTTTGTCAGAAGTGGGATTCGAACCCACGCTCACAGAGTGAACCAGAGAATTCATTTTTCTTAAATCTGGCGCCTTAGACCGCTCGGCCATCCTGACTACACGCAACATACAGCGCAACAGCTATACGTGTTGCTTGAAACGAAGCCGACACCGCAAAACCATTCATTGTGCTACGGTTACGGCTTCGCTTCGCTATGAATGAATGAACTAACGAACGAATGAGCGAATGAGCGAACGAGTGTATATGGTTTTTCCACTGTATGCTGCTGCCAAGAAACTGTTTACATTCATACGATTCACACTGTGCACTAGTACACGTTTGCCGACTAAGTGCGTTATTCGCATGTACACGAAGGTAGCAAACACAAAGTATTGGCGATGTACTCAATGAACTCATCTTTTAGAATTAATACGAATTTTGCTCAACAATTTTACAGAAAATGTTCTTTTCTTCTTCTCCTCTCATGTTGAATTCTTTGCTCCTACTATCGTTCGTTACAGTGTAAACAAAATCTCCAGCTTAGCCGATTTTGAAGACTGCCACAAACTCCAGGAACTGTATCTCAGGAAAAATAACATAAAAGACATCAACGATCTGGTGTACTTACAGGTATGATTAATAAATTCACGTATTTAGAAAAAAAAAGATTTATCTTTTATTTTTGTACAAACGATTGGTAATATAAAAAATATCACTCAACAATGGAACGATAGGAAGATGCTTAATGCATTTTTGTGGGTTGAAATGTGTTTAAGTTGTTGTGAGAATATGTCCTATGCAAGGCTTTCATTTCTCCAATAGTCAACATCATAACCGCTCAGATTTTCTTATCTGAGACCCTTAGTCATATGTCTCATATTTGAATGTGCATAATTTTGAGCGTTGCTATACTGAACAACACATCCGAGATGTCAAAGGGCGGCACAACAGTCTGGATGACAACACGCACAGAGTGCATCACAGCACGGTACACAGCAATCGACATTGCAAAAAATTTGCCAGAAATCGATGCAAAATCTGAAATGAATCATAATTTTAACATTTCACCTCAATGTAAAAAAAATCTGTAAAAACCAAAAAAAAGAGATGACTCACAGCCAGCTGACCATACTATCATTGCATTGGTTGCATGTTTGAGCACAGCAAACACAACAATCCACATAACAAGAATCGTCTGCTTGACTTAGACCTCTGTCATTAGAATCCACTGTATCTCTTGCACTGTCCGCATTATATCGCGGTTGATCTGTTATGGGCGCTAAAATAATAACACAAAACATCAAATCAATATTGACAATGCATTTTTTTCAAAATGACTATTACAAAATCTTACTCACCTTTTGATTTATTGGGTTCGTTCATATTTTTTGGAAATTATTTAATGTTAAAAATAAGCGTAAGGCGTATTGAAAGTACATATCAACAGTGAAGTCAATGTGAAACCCGACTGTGTTCATGCTTGTCAACAAGTTTCATCTGATGTTTTCAATTTGACTTGAACAACAATACAATACGATACAAACACAAATACACACGCACATACACGTGTGCACGCTTCAAATTGGCATGAAGTGTTAGTGTAATACGTGTGCGTTTGTATGTATATGTAACTGTGATCTCATCGTAGCATACCAAAAAAAAAAAAAATACCAAATACAAACAACGATATGAACGCTATTCACCACAACTAGCTATTTGAAGTTGAACATTAAGCGAGATAAAATCAATTACTTTGCTGGAATTTTGATATTAGCCAGCATACCGACGGCACAGCACCCATTTTTGTGAATTTTGTGTACATAAAACAAACGGCTAGCCTTTAGGCTTTTAGTCAGTACGTTTTAATATTTAGATAAGAATAAAATTATTAATTTAGCTCACGACATTTTAACTGGCCAATTGATAACAAAAAAACGCCATTTTAGGGACTGCCACATTTGAAGAAACTATGGCTCGAAGAGAATCCATGCGTAGAACAAGCCGGCCCACAGTAAGTATTAAGACAGTAGCATAAGGCTCATTTTTGTGCTAGAATAAACTGAAACAATTTTTAATTAAAAATTAGCTACCGATTGATTGTGTTGCGTGCGCTGCCAAATCTGGAGATGTTGGATAATGTGAGCGTTACACCGGAGGAATTGTCGGATGCTATGAAAGTCGGTCATGCGGTACAAAGCCAGGAAGAAGTGTACGAAGATGCTTACTCGAATGGGGCCGGTCAACAGCAAGCCCAACAACAGCAACTACAACAGCAGCAGCAGCAACCATTTCGCCAGCAAAGCCCAGTTCGAGAAGTAAGTTTCATTGTCCCCTTGCTATTTTCATAATTGCCCATTGTTGTGAAAATTTACTCGAGTCGAAACCCATAAATCTTAACACGACAACTTTTCACTTGATTAAAAAAAAACCATTCTAATAATCTGTTGATAATAATCGTCAATGCAAACGATCTCAAATATGACTAATACATAGTCAAATCATCATCATCATCAAAATCCCGAGAATAGCGACGATAATCAAAACGAATCCCATGACCGAGTGTCCGTACCTTCTTCACCCCAACAGGTACATTCCAAATAATCTCTTTCTCTCGCAATCGCAATTTATTTAGCCGCTCATCAATTTTGCATAGCATTATTCTCTGTATCTGCTTCAATTAAAACCGTTTTTATGTTGCATTTTGTTTATTTTTTCCTTGGCATTCGATACAATTCCCCTGAAATGAAATTTCAATAACCTCTGTAGTAGAAGTAGTTTGTTTGTTGTTCGTGTCTGTTTGAGTTCAACTATAGAAAATTCAATTAATAAGATTCATCTGGCTTATTCTCACAATTTGCTTTCGCGACTCGCGAGAAGGACAACAGCTGATCCCAAGTGCAAAGCAAAGCAAATTAAATTCAATAACTCTTTCATTTTCTAATAAGACGTGAATCATTTTTATGATTTGTATGCTTATATTTTCAATTTCGATTATTCAGGTCAGAAAAACTCATTACTTGATTTACTGTATAATTCGAATTGTTCTCATTTAGAAAACACCACCGAACCAGGAATATTCTCCCGCTGAGCCAAGCCACCCATCGTCACCAAAACAACGTGACCTCCGATCTTCATATCATCAACAATCATACGATGTAGGTTTCACAGTAAATGTCAGGAAATCGAGGTCGTATGTCGATTTGAAATTTGAAAAAAAAATTCTTCCAAAGAGAAATAAATTGTCAAAAAAATTAGTAAAGTTTTCTTTTTCATATCCATATTTCCAATCATTTTCAGAGATCGCCGGGTTCAGATGAAATTCAGAACTCTAGCGGATATCGTGAACGTCCACATATCGTGCCGAGTATGTCAACTCATTCGATGAAGGTATGAATTTGATCTGTCTCCATCTCTCTGTAAATCGTTTGAATTAAATGATTTTTTTATTCTATGCTCACAGGAATATTATCAATCAGACCGACCCACTCCAGCCCATTACCGCCATAGTCAAAGCGATTTAACGGAATGGGATGAGCCAAATCATAGTACGCCACAGCAGCGTCGCAGCGGTGGCCAAACCGAACGTGATGCACAATATCCATACCGAAATGGTTCACGTGAAAAAGAGGAATGGGATGAGAATGAACGCGGCCGACCGAGGTAAAGAAAGCAATTTCTTCTATGAAAAATAATTTTTTTTGTGAAAATGTCACGATGAAAAATAAATGTACACTTGTTTAAATTTCCTAATTAAAAATCTACACATAATTTTCAGACGATCTGATGGCCGATTCAGCGACACCGCCAGCGTTGTATCGAATGCAGTTATCAATCATTATGCCAGCTATCACAGAAGGCCCGTGAACAGAGTAAGACATAACCTTTTTTTTCATCTTTTGGCATATTTCTAAAAATAATTTCTTTTTCTCTTAACCTAGAGTTCCAACTTACTATCGGCAACATTGTGTCTAGTGAAAGAGTTAGACTATCCGAGTTTGGAGGTGGTTGAACACGCAGTTCGATGTCGCATCGATGAACTGGCGGCCGAATGACAAAAAATGAATTTATAAAAATCAAGCAGCTACTTTTAAAACGGATTAATGCACGTTTAATTCGATTTTAAAAACAAATAGATTTGAGAAAATTAAAAACTAAAATAAACAAATGAGAGAATAACATCAACTGACAATATTTTTACTCGAATAACAACTAAGCTCCCTAATTTATATGCATTACAAACTATCAAATAACGATATGAAAACGAAATACGAATATTAGAATATGACACGGAATAAACAATCTAGGCGATATTCGTAATGTGCGGCTTATGGAGATAAATTCAAAAAAATATATTTTCCAGTTTTTTTTTTGTAAATTAACTAAATACGTTGATAATAACGACGATAATTGAATAAACTAGCTTCTAAACGATCTGATAATATTGCTAAACAAACATATTCTTTTCTGAAAATAAAAAAATAACCATCAAAACTCATCGACTGAGTTGAATGTTCTTCGAATTAATGGTATAATGCAACTTACAATTATTTCATTTTGTTGATAAATTTTCCGTTTTTTTTTTCTCTTAAATCAGAGAATCTGAATTGTTGTTTAAATGAGTAAAGTAATTGAAAATGAAATTTCAATGTTAAAATGCCTCCATTGTAAATCAATTAGCAATGAATGTTTCTAAAGAAAATACTATTTTAATTGCTTGAAATAGAGATAAAAGAAAAATTAATCAGCAAATTTGAAGCAAAAACAAAAAACACACAATTTAATTTCAATTGAAATGGAATAGCATGATTAGAAATAATTATAGAGCTTATTCATCACTTGATAGACATATGCGTGGGCAAAATTAGTTCGATCATTGTTATGTTTTGTTTTTGGTGTACGCCAATTGAATTATTTGTGCATCACTTTCTACACACATCATACACACACACAACCGTAGTGACACTTTGGGAAAATGGCACACACACACACAACACACACTTACAATAATTCATCCAAGTTGATGATATTTTTCCGCTCCAAGTTATATAGTATATGAATTCTTATGAATATTGATAGTATTTCCTTATAATGATGAAAAAGAAAAAATTAGGAAGAATGTTACAAAGCTCTTGCCAACTAATAACATATATCATGCATTGTAAATAAGTGTGAAGCTTATTAGAATCATTTCCATTAACATGCAAATATTGAAAAACAACATATTTTTACTTAAAATTGAAATTTATTAAAGCTTTTCTTGATTAATAAAAAACAACAACAGATCGTCTTTTTTTATTAAAAAATTCCCTGAACTTGAACTTTTAGTTTTCAATAACACATCGGTCAATAAGTCCCGAGCCTAACCACCAAGTGGCAACACTAATGTCAAACCCATATCATTTTCGAAAACTACAACCTTTTTTAGGAATCCAGTCAAAATTTGAGCCAAATCCGACCATCAGTTTGCTAGTTACAGCTATACGAGAGAAAGACTCCCGAAAATGCTTCAATTTTGCCGTTAAAACGGTATAACTTTCTTCTGATGCATTGTATTCAAGTATATTCATGTGGAGAGTTCAGAGAATGACCAGACCTAAAAAATACAATGGTTAGTGAAGCAGTTTGAAACCAATTTCGTTCAATTATATCACCATATAAACAGTTCTTTGACCTGGATGAAACTCGCATTTGAACAACATAGTTTTCTTCGCCAAATTTGCTATGTTTTATCAAGATTTGACATTCGGATAGGTCTAAAATGATGCATAAGTGACTTTTCATGTTGTTTTATATCTTTCCCACTGGTTCGCGAATATTTTTCTATACCTAAATCCACTAATAATGCCCGAACTCATATTTTGCGACCTTGGTCGCTACAAACCGTTTTTGGCGATTTCTACCCGCAATTTATAGATCGAATCTATTCAAATGAACTCAAAATACATTAATTCTAATATATAAAGGCAAAACCCTATTCAAATTTTACTTATACAGCTCCAAACGGGCTTCGAATCCCCAAAAAACTGTTCTATCTACTCCATATCCAAAAACGCGGCAAGGCTTTTTCGATTGAGTATTTCATATGCATATATCCATGCAAAGTTGTAACTATAGCTTGAGTTAGTTGCCCTATGGCCTTAGCAAATCTATGAACTATCACATTTGAGAATTCCGATATCACTTAACGGATTTTGGCAATGATTTCTTCCAAAACCACATATTTTGAACAATTTGGAGGCTTATCGACAAAATCGCTCTTATGGCTATGCATAAATTCAATTCTTCCATATCTAATGATTGATTTCGAAAGCCTAAGGATGCCATAAACTAATCATAGTATGGGTTTGGTACTCCTGCTCGTTTTTCTTCTGGAATACATGTGTCAAATCGAGAGGAGAAATGCAGTTTTTCCATGATTTTGGAAAATTGGAAAATTGCTTCATTTAAAGTGCTGTAATTAGCGAACTGATGGTCGGATTTGGCTCAAATTTTGACTGGATTCCTAAAAAAGGTTGTAGTTTTCGAAAATGATATGGGTTTGACATTAGTGTTGCCACTTGGTGGTTAGGCTCGGGACTTATTGACCGATGTGTTAAATCACAGTCTTTTTTTTTAACGACGACAGAAGACGCGATCACAGTCTTCGTTTGCAAAGAATGCATATTTTTGTTTGAAATCTCGCCAATCGCATACACCGTTCGGTGTGCACCAATCAAATTGTAGTACTTTTTCGTTCAAGAGAAATTTGACTTTGTCATTCGATGAGCATTTGTAACGGACGATACCAATATTGGCAGCGAATGGGCTGATTTGGCTTGTTTTCCACTTTCGAATGGATGCCATTTGTGCGAAATTCTCTGCTTTCAAATCAATATCATCTTTTAATGCCCCTAGCGATGTAAGAAATAGTTGCACAGCGGCTGAATGGCTGAAATAGACAGTAGCCGCAGGTCCATCGTCGATCGATAAGCGATTTAGCATATCTTGCATTGCGAAACACTTGACATTTTTATTGAGTTCTGACCCGTGGCTCGATTTGTAGAAATAGTTCAGGTCTTCTTGGTATTCAAATATGTGCACTTGAGACAGTGTTAGCAACTGTGAACGAAGAGATAAAGATTATAGAAATAAGATAAGAGTCAAAAATAAAAGCAATTTCATTTTCTCACCGAACACCATACGCTCGTTTGGTCTGTATGCCAAGCAGACTCATAACGACACATGCCATAAATGTCTTTAATCTCTTTCGCTTCAAGTGTTCCATTGAATCCAAATCTAGAGTTAACATCGGCGATAAGCTTCTGAAATGTGCTTGATTGTTCGAATTTCCTCACTTCAGAATCGGTTCGTTTTAATTTCTTTTTCTGATCTCTCCATAACGGGCAATTGGCGTATGCTTTAAGCAGCAGATCTGGCCGATTCGGTGGCGTTTCTGCATAGATTTGCTTGTATGCTGATTCTCCGAATAGTTCATTGACAAATGCTCGAAAACTGGAACGAGTTCGTTCAGTGTTTGTATGCCGAAAATGGAAATGATTGACGTCATATGGCCTTTGGAATAGATTTGGCAAATATTGTTTATAATTATGCGCTATGGCACTAAGCTCTTTATAACCCTGTTCCACGAGATAATTTGCTTGATTCACTGTAATACTATCGTTCCACTTCCAATTCTTCAGCATGTTTAAGTCATCCGGGCATAAGGCCGGTTTTTGGAGTTTTTCCATATTCTCAACAATTCTGTCTCGCAACTATGATGGATTTAGAAACGATTTTAGCTGAAGATTTTATTCAATATTGGATACTATGATGTATTCATACCTTTTCCATTTCACCGAACCTTTCGATTCCACTGGCAGTTGGAAGTCTCGTTCCATGTCGAATCAATAGCCAAACCTTTGACGGTGTACAATCTAGGAATCATAGCAAAAAAATTAATTATAGAATACAATTCACATTGTATCTTCTCTTACCTTCGACGTGAAAATCTCTCAATTTAGATTCGTCATGTGACTTTTCTGTCTGGTATGCAGTTTTCGTTGAAAATAATTTAATGTGAACTCGGTCCGCATCCGAAGCTAAACAAAAATCATTGGGTTTGCATTGCTCAAAACTACCAGCAAAACTAGCTAAATGTTGACTACAATACTGATTTGATGGAGTAATTACTCCAAATTTTGAAACAAACACAATTAAAGAGAAGAAAAATATTTGCATTTTCAAGTCATAACGCAACTGAACAAAATAAATAAAACTAAGCACAAAGCTGTGGTACAACGTTCGCAAAAATACACTTTATTATACTGTTTTTGTAGGCTTTGACATTTGTGAATGAACGTCATACGATGTGTCAACCTCTAAATCGTACAGAGAACCGGTTCAATTCTGAAATTGAAAATGAAAAAGAAAATGGAATGAATCACATACATCTGTTTTTATTGTTGCTAAAATTTCTGTTTGATTTTTTCGAGATAATTTTCCATTTTGGAAAAATTCAATTTGAAATATTATTCCAAAAACTTTTCGTCAGAGTTAATTTCTCTTTCAAAGTTTACTGTTTGTTTGTAAAGTGTTTGGAACAGATTCAATGAACTCGATTTTTACTTCTCCCGCAACAGCGATGGCTTCGATTTCGACAAGCGCTCCCATTGGCAATTTGGCCACTTGAACACAAGATCTGGCTGGAAAATTGCGCACGAACGCTGCAAAAATAAAACATATTCACTGAAACCACGGATCATTTTCACAATTTCTTCTAAATATCTCACCTTCTTTATAGACTTGATTCACAGTTGGAAAGTCATTGAAGTCTTGGAGAAATACAGTTGTTTTGACCACATTGTTCATGTTTGATCCAGATGCACGGAGTACATTCTTCAAGTGAGTTAAAGCCGTTTCAGCTTGTTCCTTTGCACCGCCATCAACCAATTTTCCCGTTTCCAGAGACACGCCAAGGCAACCCGAAACATAAACGGTTTTGTCGGCAACAACCGCTTGGCTATATGGGCCTATTGGCTCCGGTGCTGTTTTGGTAGCGATGATTCTTTTAACAATTTTGTCCATTTTCTGAAATAAACGCAAAACAAGACAAAAATTCCAAGTTTTAAAACGGTGTGTACTTCGACCGGCTTCGTCGACTGATTACGGGCAATTCAATTGCATTTGATTTCAATTCATTTCCATTTACGCCCATACATAATCACCTCGCCCATTATCAATTCCGTTTGATAATTGATTAAAAATGCGAAAGCTATTGGTTCTCTATGTATATCTTAACTTTTAAGTTGTTGTTGTTGTTGCATTAATCAGCAACAAAATAATTATTTGAAATGTAAACATGCAACAACGGAACGAAATACAACAAAATAGAATATTATAAGATTGTAAACAAATTATGACAATTCTTATCAAATAAATCTTGAATCTGAAACTTGTTCTATTTTTAGTGTTTGAAGCATGTGGTCGTCTGGCGCTACGTTCAATAGATTTGAATGTTTACAAATAAAAACAAAACGAAAAACGATCAAATCTATTTTCGGACCAGCATTTGTTTGACAATAGATTGAAAATAAAATGCTTCCGTTAAATTGGTTGTGCGTGTACGAAAACACGGTAATAATTATAATTTTATAGTTAGTTAAAGAGACATACTTTTGCACTATCAATGAACTCCGAACTGAAAATAAACACGGAACGATGCCAGTGTCGAACAGCTGGACTGTTTTATCAAGATAGTTGCGGTCAAAGTGAACGTTTAACGACAACAACGATGGCAACGACGTTCGTTTGACGTTTTCTGTCACTCTCTCAACTTATGACGCTTGAAGTGTTTTTGCTTATAGAACCATTCCGTTCATTTATACGGAAATTTGACATTCCAGCACCAGATGCAAAAACATATTGTTTATGGCAATATTGATTTTTATTTCAACAGATCTGAATTTGTCACGAAAAGGCAAACAAACTCAAACTAGAGTCCAATTTGTCGACTCGATGTAGTTTTTAAGTTGATCAACGTACACACATAAAGACAATCTCAGTTATATGGATAGCTAAATACATGTATATGTCGAGCGCATCTCAGTTAAAATAGTGAAGAAAAAATAACAAATGCATTGTTCATTGATTTCAAGCCCAATTGATAATTTCAAACGAGTGATTCAGACGAAATCACTATCATCACAATGCCAAATACTTTATTATTTGCAACAAATAATGAGGGACGCATCTATACACTATCCACGGGCAGCTCGATGTGGAAAGAGTTTCAGTATTCCGGGCTAGAGTTTAAAAAAGTTTCATCGGTACAAAATATCATTTATGCGATTGGCGGTGATCGGCAGGTATACGTGCTCGTTTTTGGCTTAGACATACCAATACGAGTCAAAGAAGTGACTTATGAAAATGAACGATGGTTTCCAATCGAAGGATTCGCAAATCGATTGCTGCCCACCGATCGACACAAATTCTCCACTGAGGATGGCACCGATAATCGGGCCATTGAATTGATTCGCCTCCCGTCTGCCTGCTGGATATGGGAGGGTATGAATTATAAATTCAACGTGACAACAAAACAAAAATCATTTTTCTAACACGTATGTGGTTTAAACAGGTGATTGGCAGCTAGAGTTATCGTTAAATGGCGAACCATTGGATCACGATGGATGGACCTATGCCATCGACTTTCCAGCCAAGTTTTATCCAAAGAAATCGTGGAATTCATGTGTGAGACGACGAAAATGGGTTCGAACTCGACGATACAATGCGTTGAATTCATGGTGTGCTATTGCTCCGCTACACAAAGACGCCACACAAGAGCCATTCGTAGACGTGGCAATCGGTTGCGTTGGATCCGAATCACAGAACACAATCTTAAGTGTTTGGGCCGTCTCAGCGCATGGAAGAGTCATGCATCGAGCTGGTGTAAGTATGACGTCACCAGAAGGACAACGATGGACAGCTATTCCAACACCAACGGGAGAAATTTTGAATATAAGCGTTGGTATGATGATGACGACAACTAAGTTTAAACCATAATTTAATACTCACATTGAAAATTGATCTGTTCACAGGTGCAACGGGTTTGGTGTGGGCGGTCTTATACAGTGGACGAGCTTTGGTACGCACAGGAATACGAAGTGATAATTTGATCGGTGACAAATGGGTTGAGGTCTATCCACCAGGTGAAAATGTGAAAATCATGCAAGTTTCAGTGGGCACTAATGCGGTATGGTGCGTGACAAATGATAATCATGTGTGGTTTCGACGTGGCATCAAAGGTGATATATGTGGTATTAGTGAAGAGGCAGCTATTGGAAACACTTGGGTGGAAATGGTTGGAAATATTTCGCAAGTGTCGGTCGCAGCAAACGATCAGGTTTTTGCAATTGGCGCTGATGATGATAGGTAGGGATTGATTTGAAATGAGTCATAATCGGTTTTTTCTCTTTGTCAATACGAAAAAAATATTTATTTCCTTGGTTGTTGTAGATATCTTTACTTCCGTTGGGGTGTTTCATCCAGTGACTTGACTGGCAAGAGATGGGTTAAAATACAGTGTCCGCTGCAGTACACGAGTTGCTCATCTAGCACATTGTCGTTAAATTCAAGACGAAGCGGCTCCGAATCGCCGATTCAAAGCCATCGCAGTATTAACACGCTGTACAAAGAAAGGGCCCGCGTTGAAACGTCAGCAATCATAGAAAATATTGCCATCGACGAAGATGCAGCACATTCAGCGCCAAATTTTCGACAAAAGCCCAAGTATTTGAATTCGCCACCAGGCAGCTTAAATGAAAAAGTCGATAATCGTTACAAAGTTAGAATGATGGAGAACACAGCGTCGAGTGCACCAACCGAACATGTATCCGAGATATCGGGAAAGTACTACGAGCGTTCATCAAAGCATCCACGAGCTTGGAGTCCAGTCCGAAGTGTTGGCTCGATGGTTGGCACAGAAGCACATCCAGAGAGCGATTCAACGGTTTTTGAAACTGATTCAAATCGTGGCTCATGCATTTTTAGCGAAGATGACGATCAGTATGGTACACAGTATTGGAGTGAATCGGAGGCGACCTGGACGAATTGCACAGCCGGTGCAGCTCTAGTCGAACCAAACCAATTGCCGAATTGGTTCAAGGACACCGTCTCACTTTCTGAATCATCGGCTGATCTGAACAAAGAATGGCGCGTGAAAATGATTGAAATTCTTAAGAAACGATTGAATGGCTTTGATGCAAGTGCTTATGAAAAGGCGGTGGAAATGTCTTCGTGGGTTAAAAGTGTCGAGGCAAAAGTGGCGAAAAATGACACATTCGAAGATTGCCTCATTGAATTGGAATGGTTAACATCCGCTACCACAGGTGCGGGCACATTGACAATCCTCAATTTGGATGGAGTATCGACCAAAATGCAGCTATCGTTAAATGAAATAACGTGTGTGATGTGTTGCAGTGAACCGGGTAGCCCACGTCTGGCTCTATACGCTCCACGACTATCAGTCGAATCGTCAACGCTAAAATTACAATTTTCAAATGACGATGAAATGGAGGACTGGCTATCGCATTTGACATCAGTGTGTTGTGAACTGAACGAAGTTCATGGACGACCCGCCGATGATTCGCGTTGGATAACAACCGGTTTGGGCGATGTGTTCTGCTCTGACCCCATCAATCTTAAATCCGCACAATACAAAGCAGCTAGCAAATTGTATGAGAAAGAAATCAATATGCTTGGTGCCGAAACGCCATACATCACACCGCTTCCAAATGGAATGGCCATCGGAAGTATTGTCGAAATAAACGGTTGCATTTTTGATGACGCTAGTCAAATTCGTTTCGATTTACAATGCCATTCAACGTTAAAGACACGATTTATCATCGAAAAAATGCGGCATGTTGCATGCCATTTGAATCCAAGGTTCAATGAAAAGATCATTGTACTCAATACAATGGAAAATTCCGAATGGCAAACTGAACTACGAACTGATAAAATGGTCTTTTCACCCGGCACCGAATTTAAACTGGAAATAAGGTAAACACTGCTTTCGACCGAATTCTCTTTTGTTTTCATATTCAATTTAGAATTTTTGCACGGACAATTCTCATTTCTAATCAAATTCATAGGTGCGAAGCAAAGGGTTTGCGGTTTTTCGTTGACAATTTGGAATTTATATTTTTCGAGCACCGATTGCCTCCTGAATCAGTAAACAGCTTGTACATTAGTGGCCGAGTTAAAATCTACAATGTGAAGTATAATAGCCCAAGGGTAAGTCATTCATTGATTTGCACGAAAATAGCGAGGATAAATAGCATTAACCTCATTTTTTATTGTATGCACACATTTGAAGGTGATTATCCAGTTGCGTGACATGTTTTGGCGTCAGATCGGCGGTCATTTTCGAAAGATAGTTTCCAGTCGATGTGGCATTGTGTGGGCAATTAGCTATGACAACACCGCATATTACTATACAAACGGATGGGGTGGTGCATTTCTGAAGGGCTTAAATTCAGGAGGCGAAATCAATGCAATGACTGACACACAAAACTACTTCATTTATGAAAATCAAAGATGGAATCCACTTACAGGTAATATCCGAAGTCTCTTGATCAGCGATTCGGCAACGATTAATATTGAAATGATTTAATATAGGGTACACTAGCCATGGTTTGCCTACCGATAGACATATGTGGAGTGATGCAACGGGCAAACAGAAACGAAGCAAGGAAAACTCAAAATTGTTGTCATCTCGTTGGCACTGGGTAAATCACAAACAACCACACACCATTTTCAGAATGTAACCCAAGAATTTTTGCAGATCTCAGATTGGCTAGTGGACTTTCATACACCAGGTGGTGTGGATCGAGATGGTTGGCAGTATGCCGTGGACTTCCCCGCTTCGTACCATGCTAAAAAGCAATTCACCGACTATGTGCGCCGTCGACGATGGTTGGTACACTCTTATTCAATTGCATAATTCATGATAACTGACTATTGATCTCACTCAAAAAGGTTTCGAAAATGTCGTCTCACGACCAGCGGTCCATGGCACGAAATCGGCAACACGAAACTGATTGATGTGAGCCTGCTCTACGATGAAAACACCGATTCGTTCAAAGTGTGGGCGATAGCAAGTAACGGTGACGCTTTATATCGGCGTGGAGTAACCAAATCAAATCCAAGTGGTACATCATGGGAACACATCGTCGCCAATAATCAACCATTGGTTTCGATTAGCTTAAGCAAAGCGACGGGTGTTTGGGCGATTGGACGGAATGGTATATTCACAAAAAAAAAACATTCAAAAAACGAGCATGAATCATTAAATTGTTTTATATACCCAGGATCGGCATATCGTCGGTGTGGATTTTCGTGTGAGAATGAATGGGGCACGTATTGGAAGGTCATTGAAGATGCACCCAAGGGCGTCAATTTGAAACAAATATCAGTCGGTCCGATGGGCATTTGGGCCATCGATTCTCAAGGTGAGTGCTTAGTACGCCGTGAGGTATGCGATTCATTTCCAGAAGGTTCACATTGGAAAATTTTACAAAACGTTCCGAACGACCCACCGCATGAGGAGGGCAAAGTTGGATTCAAATCCATTTCAGTCACTGATACGGATGTTTGGGCTGTGTCAAGTAGTAATTTTATCTCTCGACGAAGTGGCGTCACACCAAAAAATCAAAGCGGCACCGGCTGGCAACTTGGAATATCAGTAAGTTTACACTTATGGATTCTTGATTCATTCATCGTTTTAAAACGAAAATTTCTGTTCTTTTTCAGGCCAATTTCAACTGCGTTTCATAAAAGTATATATCATTTTATGCGCAAGGTCATCCATTCCGTATAGCACTGTTCTCATTCCTGTATATCGAAAAGCACATTTCGAATTTTACACATAACTGGCTCTATTGAAATGTATCTGTTTCTGAATGTTTAAATTTTAAGAATGATAAAATTCAAATTAAAGCGAAATGTATTAAAGTGGCAGCATAAAATTTGGTTTTAGATTTATTCATAAAAATTGGCGCCAAAATATTGAGTGGAAGTTCTCTACGGAATTAACCCTTATTGATATTAAATGCCATCTATCGGCTCAACGATAAACAAATCTGTGCATATCAATGAAAGAGTAAAAAAGAGACAGAGAGCATTATCCTTACGGAAAATGTTAAATGAAGTTGAAAAGATGCTGAAATATTCTCAATTTGAACTGGATGCCTGCCTTGAATTTGACTGTGAAAAAACCTCAATCAAATCGATTTGTTTATGTTCAACAAATCCGAAAAATGTATAAACAACATTCATGTTATTGCCTTCTAAACGGATTCATTGAAGTGGTTTAGAACAAATAACTCGTCAGGGAAAAGTGTTGAAGCGAAGTTTGAATGCGAAATGTGAATAATGGACAATTGGATATATTCCCAATGTCTCCGTTGATTGAATAGAAAATATTGCATCGTTTCAAAAGTATAAGATAAAGTTTATTTTTCTAATTTTCAATAAAACAGTTATTGAAATTGGCGCCAAAACATTTTTTAACTGTAAAAACATAGTAAGTTTGACAAAATGATACTCAATGATGTGATACGCCCTCTATCGATCCATGTACAAAGTAAATGGACCTAAATGCAAAAAAGAGAGAGAGAGAGAAAAATTGGTTTCAAATATGGCGGACTCTCTAGTATAAAAAAATGTTTTAAAGGCCATCCAGCTAAAACAATAATAACAAATAAACATCAAAATAATCGGAGATCCAGCGACGATTCGATCAAAATATTTGATTGTGCCAAAAATACTATCCATTTATATAGATTGCAAAAGCAATCGGTGACATGTCCAGTGTTTAGTGAAATAATTCTCTTTATATTCATTTTGTATTGAAAATCTGTGTTCCAAAATACTTTTAATTTTTTTTTTGGCGACAAGTCCAATAGCAATAGAAAAAAGCAACAACAACAACAATAACAACAACAGTAACAGTACCAGTAGCTGCAATCAAAATCAACGGTGTGTGAACTGTTTCAATTTGTGTTTGTTTGTTTGTTTGTTTTGGAATAAATAGTGTTGAAACGTGAGGGAAAAAACACATGCAGTTGTAAAAATAAATCTATCCAAAACTTCGATTGTGTTGTGTACGCTCAAAACAAATGATGCACTTCTATGTGCTCAAAACAAACATATACAAAATTTTCAATCTAATTTTAAGCAAATGAATGACAAAAAAAGGAATGCTCGTGCATAAATTCGTCGGAATCATAAGTGAAATTGAGCAAGAAAAAAAAATAAACAAAAGATCAATCATATGTGAAAATTTGATTTCAAAGGCGAATGTTAGATAGATAGATTGATAGATAGATACAAACAAACGCTCATTAATTTCGTCGGCTCGCCGATTTATAACATACATACTCAAGATAGGAGATTAAGTGAATACAAAACCGCTCAACAGAAGCAGTAATGACAAAATAAAAGAGAAAAAAAAATTCGACGCGAATACAATTGTTATTGTTATCGAATTGAAGAAGAAGAAGAAGTAGAAAAAAGTCATCAAACCAGAAATATATAAATACAGTGAACACGCAGTGTGCTCGAACAAGTCCCAAAACAGTAGAGCGAATAAAAAATAACAGAGTAGCCCCGCATCATCATCATCATCATAACAGAGCCGATCACTTTCTTTCTCGTATCAATTTGGATATAAAAAAAAGAAGTCAATTGAAATTCTTCAATGGTAAGCATTAACAAAAACATTCATTGCTCGCTCGTTCGTTCGTTCGCATATGCCTGCATATATAAGGACTCAATAGTGTACTGTTTGTCGTACACTTCGTACGCGACCAGAGTTTTGAGAAAGCATGTTTTACTACAGCATGTTACCAAGATATAAATCGAATTTGGGTGTGTGATTCGTATACACACAGTATGAATATGCGTGAATCTGACATATTTGGCTTAATGTGTGAAGCGAAAGAGCGTTTTAATGGCTCGTGACTTGGTGATTGTCGTATGCGCTCGCCATCCAGTCAGCCAGCACTCTTCGTACGAATGTTCAATTGAACCGAGTGCACGAACGAATGTGTGTGAATGTGTATGTGTGAGTGTGTGTGTGTTTGTATGTATTTAAGTGTCGTGTATGTGTTGAAGCAACATCACTGGCCCCTCTCACTCATCGACCGAATCTAATATGTTTGTCAATTTTCAGCTGAAAATGCATTTTCATGCGTTCTCAAAAAAAAAAATGATTCAAATGGTGAAGTTCTCTTTCCTTAATTTTGTGAATAATCACAATTCGATGTTAAAAACAATGGTGTTATTTCATGAGAGGTCCGGCTGAGGGCGAGCAGTCCGACGCTTCGTTTGAAATGTCGAGTTTTACGTACATTGCCACTCACACAAGCGCACACATACGTTCACTTATTGCGATGGATGTTATGTATGTCATTCGAACGAAATCAGAGCGATGTGCTTCGGTGTGCTGTGTGAGCAACTCTTCGCAACAGTCTTTGCAGAGATAGTATACACAAGGGTGAAGAGGTTGCCAGTCGTATACGATTCATACATAAATATATATCCAATTGTTGGTTGAGTGCGAAAAGCAAGGAACGGGCGAAAAAAATAAATATTGAGTCACACCCTAGACCAAAAAATCCTCTATACAGATTTTTGACTGTGGCACCCATAACTAGAGACAGAGTGAAAACGTTCATTATCCCGATACGTATGCGAGTCGTGTAACAAACGCGCGCGCGATAGAGTAGTGTATGGTGAATTAAAATATTCAGAATCTATAAAAAAAAAATTCTTCATTCTGTTTTTATTTGTGTGTTGTTTCGATTGTCATTACCCAACGACGATATACAAACCACGGAGACGCAGATATCCTGTACGAACGAATACTGAATGGACAATTTTTGTTTTTTTCATTCGAAAGAATTATTATTATTCTATTCTGTGGTTTTACTGCGACTGCATCTTTCATAAGTGTGTGATTGTGATGTTTCATAAAGTGTGCATTAAACTGCATTGAATACACAATTTTGGAGCAACAAGAAGTCCAAAGAGAGTGAAATGGTCGCAATATTGTTTGAGTTCGGGTACGTAACAAAAAAAAACAGTCAACCTAGCAGCAGCAGCAGCAGCAGCGTGAATTATCTTAATTGAATAGTTTCTTTTTCCTGTCGTTTAAAATATTAATTTGTGGTATATAAATATTTGTGTGGGGCATTTACGGGCATATTTTTGCCACCAAACGCTATGTTTTTGTTTCGTGTGTGCGATTGTGTGTGATTTGAGAGATTAAAACTGTTTTGACGTGATATGGTCATCGTGGAGCAAGAAATTACGGCCCAACAAACAAACGGAACACCTTCAATGCTTGCATTTATTTATCGTCCGCATCCTTCATTCATGCTCGATACAGTTTCCTTTATAATACTAATAATAAAAAGAGAACCACAACAAAAACCAAAGCCATTAAATGCGACCTTATAATAGAATATAATGGCTCTCCACGGAAAAATAATTCAATTACGTTGGTTACCGATGAACGGCGAGAGATATTCAATTAAAATAAAAACGAACATTGAAAAATAAAAACGTTGCGATATCTTCGTATTCGCCTTTCGAGCTGTTCCTGTTTACGGAATGACAACAATGACAAAAAAATCGCATTAAACAAAAAAATGTAGCAAAGCGATGTGGCATCGAGCCGACAGTGCCGAAATGCAAATCAAATCGATTAATATCGGCACACATTCACTTTTATTTTTCGTGTGTTCATCGTAGTCGTCGTTGTCGTCATTCTTTTTGAATGTGGGCCATTCATCGCATATACATACGTAACAAATTTATTTTTTGTTCCTAGACGACACAAGCGCTACGATATCATTGATATAAATATTTCAATGCAAGTGATAACCATGAAGATTATATGATTTTGTGACGGTCGTAATTAAACGATACTTGTCATTTATTTCATTTGATTATTTCAATCGACTACGACCGAGTACATTATATTCGCAACGACACATCTCGCTATCTATTAGATAATAACAGATCTTTTTGTATTTGCATAAATGTTGCAAGTTGTGCATGACTCTCGGTTATACTTCCGCGGCGTATTGAAGTCAGCCGCACTTCGGTGACATCAAAATTAATTTGAATGAATATGTTTAAGCATTTATAACTCAATAAGTCTAAATAGATTGAATAGATGTTAGGCAAGAGAACGAGTGAGAGGAGCGAAGAAAAAAAAATGCGCGCAAAACGATGGAATGGAATGTGATGATTACAATAGCAAATAATTGAATTGGCAATTTAAATAAACAAAACGAAAACGAATCTCTTTCAGTCACTTGTGTAAATTGTGTCTTATTGGTTCATCGAAACCTTTGATAATTTAGTTGCTCTTTGTACGATTCCGAGCATTTTGGTGTTTCGTTGTGGTTCTCTTTGTGAAATCGCCTTTTTGCTCTGTACACGTTTGGCGCGACTATAAAAAAGTCAAGCAACAACAAAAAAAAAACAAATCATAAAACGCTAGTAAATGGTGCGAATGTCAAAACCCATTAGAAAGTCGATGTATGTTTGATGCGACAAGTATTTATCGCTCACATTTTTATCGGCTTTTGTTTTATTGATTTTGCATTGTGTTTTCATTTTTTGCGATCATTGGCTGTGTTATTTCGCGCTAAGTAAGTGAAGAGAAAAAAACGCGCATACTACGATCATCATTTCAAGAAATCAAAGCAGAAGAAAGACGCACAGCAGAGCAGAAAAAAAGCGCAGCACACTAAAATAAAGAGAGAAAGAGGTCGTTAAATGAACGAAAAAAAAAACGATATGAAATTGCATCGAGCGAAATCATTGAGTTATGAAGACGACTAACAAATAGAGTCAGTGCATTGTCTCTCTCTCCCTCTAGGTATAAATAAAAGCATCAATGTAGTAATAATATGATTGTTTGTTTTGTTGGAATTCTTCTCTTTCGCCGATCTAATTAAATGCGTATTCATTTCGTATGTACGAATGGCATGCGAGTACGTAATGTTTGATACATTCCATTTACTGATCATATTTTTTTTCCATTCGCTTCTTCTGCTTCGTCGTCGTCGTCGACGTCGTAGTCTTCATCATTGCAGACATATATTCGACCAAATTGAATTCCACTGTTAAACTCTGTCTATAATACAACATTCATACGAATACACAAGCACACAACCATTCGAATGGTTATAAATAAGTGCTGCGCTATGCGCTCAAGAGTTTCATAATTTCTATAACGTGCCCATTGAATAAAAAAAATAAGTTGAAAGATTCGGATCAAGAGATGACTGAAAAGCATTACCCCACAAAATAAAAATAACAACATAAACAACAAATAACAATCAAGCCCAAAAGTCAGAAATCTTAGTCGTCGTCGTCGATGTCAATTTGAGTACATGAGTACCAAGAATAATAAGGCAGAACGAGCAATAAGAGGTCGAATTGTGTGTATCTGGTTGCCTGATCACGATAGAAAAAGGACGGTATCTGTAGATACGCATACGTAATTGCTTGATATGCCTACCACCTATTTATCCATCAATAAAGAAAATAACATGTGATAATATGTGTAGTATGTGCGCGTACATTTACGTATAGTTTCACTAAATAATATTCATGTATCGGGGAACTGTAATAAAATGGTGCAGCGAAAGAAAACACCCAATACAATCCCTTTTTTCTCTCTCTCTCTCTCTCTCTCTCTCTCTCTCTCTCTCTCTATTTTATTACTTTAAATCTATAAATGTGTTTATATTGATCAAGAGTCAAGCAAGTCGACGCATCAACTGAAAACTCAAAACAAAGCACATGCACAGATGCATAGAGTATCACTTAGGCAGCAATGAGGCGTTTCAAAGGTGTACACAAAATCGACCAAAACGAATTGAATGGTAGACGCTAAGTACGCCAACGACAACGACGACGGCCGGCAATCATTCGCTAAATGTTCAAGCATAGTCTGGTTGTTCGCGCAACAAACAACAGAAACTGTCGAAATAGAAATAAGCAGTTGTAATAGATGAATACAAAAGAAGACGCAGAAAAAAACTAAAATATAAATTGAAGTGAAGCAGGAAATATGTTTTGTACAAATAATACAATATATTTCAGATATATATATGTATATGTAGACATGGCGAGAATGCGATCCGTTTGCATGCATATTTGGATCGCGCATCGCATCGCATCCTATCACAGTCACATAATAAATGTAGAGTACTAATTTTCGATGCTTGAAAATGTAATGAAAAACGTCTAAAAATTTGTATACACTCGACATATAATGAGTGACATGATGATGTTTACAATATTTTTTTTTTTCTCTTGTCGGTCTTCTACGTCTATCCATTCTGCATTCTGCTGACGCGTTTGTATATGGCGAACGCGTATCTTACTATCGCATTACATCCAGTACATAAACGTAAAATGATCAATGAATGGTGTTCCTTCCATTCCGTTTGGCCACACACACACACACACAAACATGCAATATCTTTCGTGGGTTGTGCGTGCTTCCCCTCGGTTTCTTCTTTTTTTAGTTGTAAAATTAATCTAGATGATTTTATAAATAAGTCAGTTTGGTTGATATTATTGTCGTTGCCGTTTTTTTTCTCCTCTTCTTATGCTAGTTCTTATGTGGCTATGGCTGTTGTTGTTGTTGTACTCGTTCCATATATAGACTATTCCGACCGCGATGGATGGAATGCGTGTAAAATTTTAATGCATTAGCTTCTTGTTTTGAAAATATTACGTCGTATTTTTGTCATGCACAACATCGTCCATATTCCGGCTGCCTGATCTGACTGAACGATTGTAACACATTGTTTTTGCTTCAACTTTGTTTCTTTCTATCTTGGAATGTGATTGAATTCAAAACTCTCTCACATATTCATGCAGCAGCAGCAACAGCAGCACTATTCATTTATATATCATTCACTCGTGTTGATATCATGTTGGCTTGGCAGCTTTTCCTCGTCATTTTCCTGTTGGGGACGCTTTGAATATACGTCGTTATAAAATATGAAGTGTTGATGGCTGCATCGTTGAAACGCTCTTTCAATGCTCTGCTCTGCTCTGCACACCAGTGTGTCAATTGATGACTCAAGTGATTTTTCCGTCTGCAAAGCAAGCAAGCAAACAACGTGATTCAATATCATTCCGTGTTCCATCCGTTTAATAGTTTTTCGTTCCATTCGTTCGTTCGTTCTGGTGTTTCTGTCTCATTCTCATAGAAAATGCATTTTTCCCCATGTGCATCATCGCCGTTCTGTGCCGTTCATCTGTCTTCGTCGGTTCTGTGTTGCATTTTTTGCATTTCTTCCGTTCGTTGTGTCAAAAAACGGCATCCAGCAACATCAGCAGCATCAGCAATAGCCATAAACCGATAATAGTTTTAGTTGAACTAAAACATAACAAATTGCACATCACAGATTCCACATTTGCTTTCGTTCAGTGGAATGTTCACTGTTGATTAGTTTACATTTTTCATCGGCCATAAAAAATGCTGTGGAATTTTGATGCGTATTACGGCAACAACAACAACGGAAAGAGAGAAAAAAGAACCTAAAAATGGTTCCATTAATTTGACTTGCTCTATTTTTTAGTTGATTTTTTTTTCGTTGTTGTTGTTACTTCACTGAATCACGAATACCAGGAATTAAACGCGTGAACATATGATACAGTGCTAGTGTTATATGCGGTGTCTACTGCCGCTGCTGTATGTATGTTATCACATATTCTGAATCTAGAAACGTTTCAGATTCCTTTTAAAATAAATCACGCACTCGCATACAAAAAGGAAACAAGAGAAAAGAAATGTTAATCGGTGTAGCTTTATTTTAAGTTTCACGCCTGGTGTCTGAGAAGAAATCATAATCCTATTGTCCTTAATTTGTTCTGTTTTCACACACACATAAAGACACACGAAAATTCATAAATATTTCGTGTGTATGTGGTTGTGCATGTCATAGATGAATGGAACATTTCACAAGATTTAAATCAGAATCGTTCACTTCTGACTCTCTCTTTCTCTGTTTGTATTGTGTCTGTGTGGTATCGCGATTTCGGGAGAGACAAGCGCATTGACAATGAACAGAAATCACAAGTTACACAAATGAATGCATCGCTTCAAGTACTTTAACATTCTTCTGCATCATTCACTGTTGAGTGCTTCGGGTTGATTTTTTTTCGCTGAAACCATAGTCCAATACAACGGCATACACAGAAGCGCAGCAGTTTCAAGAGCAAATAAATTACTATAATTTTATTGCATTTTTTCTGATTCTTCTTCTTATTTCGTTCAACATATCGCTCCCATTCCAGCGCGTTCACTCACGCGCTCGTCAATTCGTTCGCTTTAAATTCAATTTTGAACAAATTTCAACTGTTGGCTTGCAAACAAGCAGCGCATGGTAACATAAATAAACGCTAATAAATTGCCGCTGCTTTAAAAAATCATCATGACAATGGAAAAAAAAACAAAAACAAACAAATGAAAGCCCCCAGATGCGCGAAACAATCGCACATGTGCAATTTACCGAATGCGTGAAATTGTGTGTAACAATCGCATGATGTTGATGCTAGTGCTCTGAGTGTTTACGGCTGCTTCTTGTTCGCTTTTGACAACGATTAAAAAAAACAATTTTTAAATGAACATTTAACGGTTCTCATTTGTCGTTGGTTTTGCCACTTCTCTTGGATGGAGCACAATTACTCCATTTCTATCGAGCAACTAGATTTTTATAAACATCAAATAAAACAGTAGTTAAATTAATGCTATTCCGGTAAATATTTATGCTCGAAGAGCAAATAGTTTAAATTTTTGCCTGTAACTGAGACTCAATTTTCGAGTTGTTCGATCTATTTTAAGCTGCAGCAGCAGTACATTTTTATTTATTATTTATTTCTACATACAGAGGTAGAGAAACAAATAAACGACAACTGTTGGCCGGTGTGTATATCGTGACAATTTTGTGACAAGCAGCATTTTCACAACTTTTATGGCACTTTCTAATGGGCGTTTGTGTTTTTTTTTATGGCTTTGCTTGTATTTTTGGCAATTCTTTTCCCATTATTACTTTTTTTTCCCTGACCAAACAACCCGTCGTTTTATTATTGTCAAAAATACTCGAATGTAAATATCTGCCAAATGTATGGGTTCTAACTAATTACTCTCTCACTTCGCTAGAAAACACAAATAACATTTAAACTCTTTTATGACGGAACAAAATAGAAGAAAAGAAAATCGCCTCTTTTCTTGTGATAATCATCCTATTTTTTTTTACTATCCTAGACAATGACAAGTTAACTAACTGCAAAAAACAACAACAACACATCCAACAAATTTCTTCTGTTTTATTTTTTTAATGTTCACAATTTTACAATGGATGTTTTTTTTTCTATCGGCATGCTCTCGACACAGAGACTCATTTCTCATTGTGTGTGTCACGTTTTAGTAATCTTTGCCGCTTGCAATGTTCTCTCTTATCTGCAACTAACTATATGATATATTACATCGCTATTTGTTTGATATCATACCTGCAGCGCAGAAGAAGAAGAAGAAGAACACGCATAGAGAACTAAAACTAAAACTAAAACAATAGCAAGTTTTGTTCGGTTCGGTCTTCGGCATTACTGTCATATAATCATTTATGTAAAGGTATTTATGGCATTTCTTCACTTTTTTTTCTCTATTGCCATTGATTTTCCGTTGTGTTCTTTCACTCGGCTGAACATTCAATTTCTAGGAAATAAATGACGAGCCACATTGAATTTCAAAATGAACACGTTTCAAATACAATCTCGTAATAGGATTTGGAGGAAAGCGAGCAAACGAACGAGGGAGAGAGAGAAAAAAAATTAGAGAAATGTGCATGCACTGTCAAGAAGTATTAATGAACACGCACAAGTTACATCAGGTGTCCAAAGCTTTAGAACACATTCTTGCTGCTGCCAACGTCATTTCGGAAAGCTGCAAAGCGGTTTTTCACATTCTGAAAAATGGACATTGGAAAAAAAGGACCGCCACGATCTCAAAAGCAATTTATTAAATTGATAATAATCATAAAGGAGCCGAACATTTGTGACGGTTTTTTGTTTGTTACCGCTACCGCATGCGTTGATGATGCATCGTCTCAAAGGTGAACAACGTGATCATATGTGTGGACGAATGAAAACAACAACTTGCTGCAAAAGTCCAAATTTGCTGAGCTAATAAAAAATCAAAATATACGAATGTCATAATTCCATTTTGGAGAATTTCACAGAAATGACTCATAATGCGATAAAGAAACAAAAAACGAAAAAAAACAATTCAAAATAAATCGCTGCCAACGCGTGCAAACATTATTTGTCATAAACTTGTGTAGTTTTTGATGAAATCGCGGTTTTATTATATGCACAGTACCTGCAGCAGACGTTTGCTGTGTTCTCAACATCTCTCTCTCTCTCTCTCTCTCTCTCTCTCTCTCATTCACTTGAACAGAAAATTATTCTTTCATCTCTCGTTGCGAGTTGTTCTTGCTATAATAGTTCATTCAAGGTCAACCGATAACATCTAGTTTCTATAACCCATTTTAATATAAAAAAAAATTACAGTTATGCCACGTTGTGTTGAATGAAACGCTGATTCTGTGTGGCTTTTCTTCTTCGATATGCCAACGATTCGCGAAACAATAACAACACCAACGGCAACAGCGAAAATCAGCTGCATTTTATTAGTTCTGAATGATGAATTTATTTGTCCATATGTGACTTTCGAACCAAAGCCAGGGTCGATACAGACCGATTTTATGTTTCTCTTGCTCGTTACTCTCTATATCAACAGCATCCATTACGTATTGTTTTTAATGACCTTAACTCGATTCAGTTTTGCCTGTTCCTGAAGTGATTGTAAACTGAAAAGTTACGATCGAGTCTTGGCTCTGTTCACGTCATTTCGATTCGTTTCGCTTTGTTTCTGCTGCCATCGATTTTGGGTACATGTGCACTTTCAGTACGAAATTAATGCACTCAGGTTTGAAATGCAAACAGATTATTCCCGGAATGATTAAGAAACTCCGTTTTTAAGCCATGATAAAATGAAACTAAGAGTGAAAAATTTATTGGTGTTTCTTTGCGATCCAATCGCTAAAAAGAGTAAATTGGCCTTTTCTACACCATTTTACTGCCAAATTTGATCGAAGTGACATTTACCGCAAGAGATTGTTGTTGTCTTCTCTTCTTTCTCGCTCATTCAAGCCGTAAATGACCAATTTATCATTAGATCTTAAAAAGTTAATATCTCTATTTGACTTATTGGTTTCCCAATACATGTCGAATTGCTTTGAATGAATCTAATTGGTTGGAATCGAGCTATTTAGGACCGAATAACTGGTTCAATGTGATTTTCAAACGATTTTAAATGTCATTTTATTTTAATCAATCGCAACATTCATCTAATCACTAGCTTTGATCTGGCCGATGGTTGGTGAAGATTTTTGCCGTGTTTTTTTCTCTATTTGCCCAGTGAAAATTCCCATATCGATCGTATCGAGTGAATAGACAGCGAAAGAAAAATACACGGCGCATACTTTTCGATCACTTTCATTAAAATTCACATGAATGTGTTTAGTCGCTAATTATGCACAGTATCTCATACCATTCAGTCTCGATGAATGGTGGGCAAGTGTCATGATTCGAGCCAATGACCATGCCATGGTGCAATACACCGTGAGTGTGTTGAACAATTTTGCGTGGACGTTGACCGTGTTATTCGTTGTACACACGAAGGTATTTTTTTTATCAGCTTCAACACACCTATACAATGAACACAGGAAGGAACGGTTGACTTTCGTGATTCGGTTCTTCCAATTGTTGTTTTCGTGCCATTTTATTTTCATTATTTTGTTTTTCTTCTGTTCGTTCCGTGGGAAAACTCAATGTTTATGCTTTTTTTCTTCTCATATTTGTAATTACCGTCTATAAATCAGCGATTTTTCATTTCGCCGCATAATTTGCAGTTCAACAATGTGATCGTCTCGGAAATTTTCTCGTCTCTATTTAATTGGCCGTTGCTTGATTTGAATGAAAGAGGTAGAGAGAAATGATTTTAACCCAAAAACCGAGTATCGTTTGTTTGTGTTAAATAATTTTTTTTTCTCGCATTTTTGAGGCTATTATTTTCGATCACCTCTACCACCTTAATCGACCTTCAACAGCATTGGCTCAAGACGAACAATCAAATAGAAGAGAAAAGAAGAAGTAGAAAAAATCGAGACATAGACAAAAACAAAGACACAAAACACACTACAAACAAAAACACATACATAAGAATGTGGTCGATGTGTTGGAGGGGCTACAGTTATTTCAAGCGGTGGTAATAAGTAGTTGTCAACGACTAAAATGTTTCAAATTGCCTCTATTTATGTGGAGTGAGTGAATGAGTGTGTGAGATTCGTGTTTGGAATCCAATATTTCGCTTGTTTGCCAAAAAGAAGAAACAGTTTCCAATGTATTATGACGTTGCAGCTCGCGTATCACTTTTTCTGTACGTTCTCTCTTCATTCATTTTGTTGAGGCTGAAAAAAAATCTAAGCGAATAATCGTAATCATAAGAAAACCGCATTCTATTTTGTTTTTTTCTCGCTGCTGTGCACAGTAGTATATTATTTTTAACCATATGTTTACATTGGTTTACTTCTGATACGTATTGAAAATAAACACACAGTTGGTTTCAATGTTATTTTTCGCCAATTTGCCAATTACCAATTGCCTATTGAAAATAATGAAGAAGAAGAAGAAGAAAAAAATAATAACAAAAACAAGCAAATCTAATTCGTTGTGCGTTTTTCTGTTTTGTTTCAGGTGTGACGAGTAAGCTATGATTTAAGTAAGCCAATTGAGTGTGGGCGACCGAATACTGATACTTGACGCATGAATATGAGGTCTTCATATAATTGGTTTAGTTTTCATTGGACAACCATAACGATCAATTATCATCGTAGAGGAGGAAATTTCTGTAGTAAAAATGAATTCCGTATTTTCGGCATTTAAAAGTAGCAAATCCGACGGCAGCATACAATCAAATAAGGGGAAAAAACCGCTCGGTGGTGGTGGTCCGGTCAACAGTAGTAGCTATGCAAATCTAAGGCATATACGTGAAATTGGTTCTAGTGTAAAGATGAGCTCATTTGTTGGCCACAATGATGATGACGATGAAATCGCTCCGAATTTGCGGCTAACCAAATGTACAACACTGCAATCGTCGTCGTCGGCAGTTGCGACCACAACATCATCAACGCCCTCATCGCCATCCACATCGTCGACATCGTCATCGTCAATGGAACAAATCATTCCACAATCAACAATCAAAACAAATACAACACACCAAAATGACTGCGACAGCAGCAGCAGCAACATCAACACGAGGAGTGCTCACTCCGAATCAAGTCGTGTAAATATTGACAAAGGTATCGTTTTAACGACAAATGACACAACAACGGTCATCGTACACGAGCACCAACACGCCTCATCAGCAATTCCAATAAATTCCCAGTCAGTAGCCAGCTACATGCAAAGCAACATTCCGTCAAATGGCACACAGGTAACGGATGGTATCGCAGATCATAGTTTGAGAGATAGCGAAAATAAAGAGAACACCGACATAACCAACCCGTCCAAAAATACGTCCGATTTAGCGTGTCTTAACGACTCATCAACGATTGTGTCCAATGGTACGGACATTTCAGGCAAACATCATGTGCACAGCACTTATACCACGGTCGTTCAAATGATGAGCGGCGGCAGCAACAACACCATCAGCAATGAGAAGCACACACCGATTTTATCGGCTGCATCAAATAAGAAACTGAATAATAGGCACAATGTATCGACTGCTCCAACCGCAGCATCGGCGAAAAGTACTAGTAGTAATCGGTTTTATAAACGCCTTAGTCTCAGCGGTATAAGTAGTAATCCATTGCCATCGGTTCATGGCCGATCCACATCCAATTCACAAAACAACGGCAATGGCAATTGTGGTTCCGGTGAGACAAAACGTACCAGAATATCGACACATCAACGAAATCTTAGTCTGGACTTTAGGTAAGTAGACAAAAAAAACAGTTGATTTCGCACAATCCACTCCTATTTAATCATTTGGTCGGACAATGTCCGAAGCATGCGATTATTTTGTCTATTCAAAAAATCGCTAAATAAATAATCATAGATGTTTATAATATGGATAGATGAAAAGGAGCACATTAACGTTCATCAGTACTGGGACGCCGATTACGTTAAAAACGTATACGCACTTGAGCCCGCACTCATGATTCGCGTATTCAAATATAAATTGCCTCATTATACAGCCTTACATAAGTTATCGAGCGTTTACATTCGTTCATTCGCTCATATTTCTCGCTCTCTCTCCCGCTCTCTCCCGTGTGTATGTGTTTCAAAGATTAATTTTCTGGTAAATGATATGCATTTCACATCCAGTCTTTCTTTTTCCCTCCCTCTCACAAGCCGTGCATTTCGTTTCGGCTGATAAGGCAATTAAGCGAACGATGTGAATGAAATCTCTCATTTTCTTTGAATGATACTGATAAATAATAATGAATATTAAGTGTTTGTGTGTGCACATTGCATTTAAAGGCCATGATTAAGTATTGAATGTGGCATGCACAGCGAATACGAAGAAGTGAACTGGCTCACAAAATCTCTCTCTCTCTCTCTCCCTCGCACTAAACAAATGAACTCAACGAACGAACCGACCGACACACGATCGAGTCAAAGACTTTATCAGACGGCAAAAAACCAAATTACAGTAGCCCGTTTTGTTTTGAACTTAATTTGCCTCGCGCTGTTTATATTTATTTTGTTTTGTTATTGTTTTTATTTGCTTGCGTTAGCGTTTTTTTTTTCTTCTCTTGTTCTCTCTAAACGTGTGCATCATTTGACTGACTGATTGGTATGATTTGTGTGTGTGTGTTCACGAGGCATTACACAGATATACGTACGTACGTCCGATCTCGTTTGCTTCGCGTCAATTCATTATTACAACATATTTGCTTAGGAATGCGAAACTTGGTTGGCTCAAAAGTGTTTTTTTTTTCGTTGTTGATGTTGCCGTTGTACGCAAACCAATTTGAATAAGTGAAAGTGAAATTCGCAGCGAACATTCGAGATATGTATGTTTGTGTCAATCTGGAGCAATCCTTTTTCATTATTACTATCGGCGCTCTCTTTGTTCATCGTATTCATTAGATGCTGCACTTATGTTTTATCAGTAGTGCTTATGTGCACCGATTACTGGCCATTGCTTCACCTTTAAATACAAAATTATCATTTTTTTCTTTTTCAAAGATAAAACAGTAAACTGAGCACGTTTGAGAAAAGTCATCGTTATATGATCGTTTCACAAATAGGTGTACTTGCAATTGGGAATCTGAAAAGTCGCTTCTCGAAAATCCAACAAATAGAAGCCGAGCAGGAGCGACAGAGAAACACAAACACAGACAGAGACACAGAGAGAAATGCGATCTGTTGAAAATGCTCGAACGTGCTGTGATCACTCAATGGTTAATAATCGGCTCATTAAGATAATTAACACTATTTCTCCTCGCTTAATTTTTTTTCTCTGCTGCGCTTTTATCGTGCCTCTTTGTTATACGCTCGTTTTCTATCCATCTATCAATATCATATGGTTTGTTTATATATTATACAAGCGGCCCGTTTATCGACTGCTGCTGCAGCATTGTTGTACTTATTTCTCTATGCCCTTACAATTTCAAACTGATTTCGACTTTGTAGGCTGCGAAACGAAAAAAAAAAATATAATGAAAAAATTTAATGAGTGAATTTGAAGTTTTGTGTGGCTTCGATACGTTTCATGCATCTCAGATTACGAATGCGTTTCATGTATGCGGGCGCACGCTGGAACTATCGCCACATCACAAAAATGTAAAATGTTTTAATTCAATTATGCGTAGACGCGAGAAATATCAATTCATTTATGCAATCGGATTCACGGCGCGAAATGAGGCTCTACGACGAAACAAAGCACAAAAGATTTACGGCTTTAATTAGTGCTCATTAATCATAAATAGCAATTAATTTTTTGGTTTCTTCTTCGTTTCGATTTTAAATCAAAAATCATTCAATTTTATCAAACAGAATCGGCTAAAATTTTAATGTTGGTTTGGTTTTTGTTTCAGGTCTATGGGCATATTATTGCCGCCAGTTTCGCAAGTAACAAACACAAGAATCAATTTAACGCAACATCATCGAAATCGCAGCCTTGACAGTGCACTTCAGAGAATCCCAGAGGTAAATATAACATTCGTATCACCGGTCGTTTTGGCGAAGTCATATTAAATTGTGTTGTTTTGTGCCTCTGTTGTTGATCGGATAGGTCGAAGTTTCATCCCCGAATGCTGAATCTGAGAATATTCTGTGCACAAATTCGATATTGGGCACGACAATGTGTAGCAAAGTCGCACCATCATCTTCAACCAATCCAAATAATACGCCAATAGCTGTGTGCAGTAAAGTCAGCGTTATCGGTACGTATTACGTGTTATCTCCGAAGGAAAATTTCCTCAGAAGTTCGTTTTTAAAAATGACATGAAATTTATTTTTATTCAATGCTATTTTCGATTCATGATTGATGCAGGTTCATGTCCAACAAGGAGCAACAATTCCGCGAACGCGAATAGTGTGGATAAAGTCAAGTGTGATGTTACAAGTAGTGGCGATAGTAATACAAAGAAACGAGAAGATTTGACGAGTTTAGGATCCGATGATTCGGGTATAATTTGTAGTTCAGAAACGGATCAAGCCTCGTTGACGAGAATGCGACGATCGCGAGAAAGTCTTGACTCGGGCGAAATGGATCCCGAAGAAGAGTGCATCGAAATTTTGGAGACCACGTCCATGGACGAGGAATACAAAACGCTGCAGTCCGATTTAGCATTTTATGCCGCTTCCGATGATGACAAACAAGCATTAAAATTGAATAAACAAAGCAAAAGTGCTGGCCACGCGATGGCGACAACGATGACGATGACGATGACCAACGACACAACCATCGACGATAAGTGCAAGTACAGAGAGCAAAATATGAGTCATCTAGCCAAATTTATGGAAAAGCGTAGCCAAAAAATCTTCGTTCCAATCGAATTTGAGGATGATATTATCGAAACGAATCCCAATACAGCTTCCACACCGTCGGCCAGTGACCAAGTGTCGACGCCATCATCTGAGCAGCCAGCACAAAAATCCGAAACTAGTGCAAAGGGTGCAAAATCACCGAAAGCCGACAATGAGTCAAGCGATCCAGTCAAATCGGAGCACATTAAAAATGATCAAGTGATTTTCAAGAACATTTTCGGTGCTACAAAAAATGCAATTTTTCGCACGGCGCAAAGTATAATCGAAAATCATGAAAAGAAAAACGCACAAAAGAATAATAAAAGCGAATCGGATGAACAAAATCAAACAAAGCAATCGGGTGAATTGTCGAAGAAAAAGGATTTTTTCACACTTAAACCATGCTCCAAAAATAAGTCAGCGGCAGCAGCAGCAACAATGGTCACGACATCCGCTGAAACAACGCCCGAAAGCGAAACCGTACAATTGCCAAAATCCGTTTCAGCGTTGACATTCACCGCCAAAGATAAGGAAAAAGTGAAGGTGCCTGGAGTCGTTAAATGTTTCATCAAGTCAAACAAAGAAATGGAACAATCTACCATATCGCTTCCGAAAATTGAAAACGGTCACAACGGGCTACTGAGATTTTTCGAATCGCCCATTTTCAACATTCATTTCGGCATTCACTATTTGTTCTATTCGAAGGAGCCGGGCGTGCTCAGTTTCATCGGAAATAAGATTTTCAGTTTCAAAGATCAAGATGTGGATCTGTACATTCCGCAACTCATACTGATGTACATTCAAATGGACGATTTGGCCGAGGCTCTCGACCCCTACTTAGTGTATCGATGCCGGAAGGCAGCCGATTTTTCACTAAAATGCTCATGGTTGTTAGAAGCATACAATTACAGCTTCGATTCGTTTCCATCGCAGCGTTCGAGCGATAAAAAGTCCCATCTCAGTTTAATCAAAGAACTGTATCCGAAACGTGATCGAAAGCAGTTGCGTGCGGACGATTCAACCGAAAAATCGGATGTCAAAGAATTGAAAGATTTGCATTCACCCATCAAGAAAACTCATCATCGATCTCAATCAGACGCAACTGGTTTGCTGACACTAACACCAAAACTGTTCCAAACACCGGTACGACTGTGTTTGGGCGATCTATCAACCGGGCGAGCATTCGATAATGGTTGTACGTGTTTTGAGTCTGTGCGCGGCACGGTCAACGATCTGTTGGGCAACAAAACCATTTGTACATGCGGTGCACCAAAGTTGGCGGCTCAACGTGAATTTGTTAAATCGCTCATCGATATCGGCCGTAATTTAACCCATTTACCATCGAAAACGGAGAAAACGAGCATTCTTCGCATGCGGCTGAATTTAATTAATAAAAATCTACCGGCTCGTGTATGGCTTCCACTCAACTCCGATATTCCACATCACATCGTTCGGATTAAAGAGGAAAAAACCGCAGTACTCAATTCAAAAGATAAAACTCCCTACATCATCTATGTCGAAGTGGTTGAGGTTAGTGATATTTATACATCACCAGTGATTCCAAAACTTATGCCATCGCTGAGGCATACGAAGAGTGAAGAGCATCTTGACTCGAATATGAGTGTGTCGCCGATCCAAAGCGATTTATCGTCGAAAGAGAACAGCAACGGCAACGGCAACACACTGAAAACATCGCACACCAATTTAGATGTAAACAAATACTGGCAAGAGTATGGTATCAGCGATGATGATGCGTGGTTGCCGGAAGATGATGAAATTACCGCTCAATATTTGAACATGCACAAAATTGCTGACCGAGATTCAGTGTCCCAAATGTCGCTTGATTCCATTGATTCACGAGAACAGAGTAAGTGTAATATATTGCAGCGTAAATGCTCCGGCGGAAGAGTGGGCAGGTTTCGAAATTAAAGTCTCAATTCCGGTTTTTCTTCTTCTTTTTTTTTTTTGCTTAGGCGTATCGGGTCCGGTTGTATTCAATATTGGTGATGTGCGGACGAGGCATACAAACAATTTGAATATTGAGAATACAAAACCATTCTTCGGGGATCCGGAAGATCCATCGGCTGCTGCATTGAAAGTAAGATTGTTATGACTCATGTTATGACATTCACATATTCTAACGGTATTGTATTGATTTTCTAGGAGCCTTGGCATGAGAAAGAACGGCAAATTCGCGAATCATCACCCTACGGCCATTTGTCCAACTGGAGACTACTTTCAGCAATTGTCAAGTGCGGAGACGATCTTCGGCAGGAATTAATGGCTACACAACTATTGGAGGTAACATAACATCATCCAGACAAAGAAACACCATCATTGATGGTCCATTCAATTCGTGGAGCGTTTTGTCCTAATCCAATCGGTCGGTTGTAAAATATTTTAGATTTTCAAATTGATTTGGCAAGAGGAGGATGTCAACCTATGGGTACGGCCGTACAAAATCGTTTGCTTATCGAATGACAGTGGACTCATTGAGCCCATTCTAAATACCGTGTCCTTGCATCAAATCAAGAAAAATTCGAACAAAAGCCTACGAGACTATTTTATCGATGAGTATGGCAGCGTGGAAACGGAAAGTTTTAAAATGGCGCAATACAATTTTATGCAAAGTTGTGCCGCTTATTGTTTGATTTCATACTTATTGCAAGTCAAAGACCGGTAAGTCAAGGCTTATTTTCCCCCATCTTATCATTGTTGATCTAAATTAATGGGAATTTTTTTGCACGTAATTTACAGACATAACGGCAACATTTTATTACATTCCGATGGCCATTTAATACACATCGATTTCGGATTTATCCTGAGCATTTCGCCAAAGAATTTAGGTGAGTCAACTCGTACGTCATTGCAACGCGCAAAACATCTAATCCAATAAAAATTTTTATTGTTTTATATAGGTTTTGAGCAATCGCCTTTTAAACTGACACCAGAGTTTGTTGATGTAATCGGCGGACTAGAATCGCCGCTATGGACTGAATTCCAGCACTTATTACTCAAAGGTTTGATGGCTGCACGAAAGCACATGGACCGAGTCATAAACATCGTTGAAATAATGCGAAGCAGTGAGTATTATATGATTCTAATTCCATTTTGCCGCATTAGCACACAATATAGAAATGGACATGACTAACCGGACACACACGTCCATCAATTTTGTAATTGCTTTTTCTAGGTGCGCAATTGCCGTGTTTCAAAAATGGTTGCGCCGGAACCATTCGCAACTTACGAAATCGCTTTCATATGAATTTAACTGAACAGGAGCTGGAAAAGAAATTGGATCAATTAGTGCAAGATTCACTAAATTCACTCTCAACCAAACTATACGATGGGTACCAATATTTAACGAATGGAATTTTGTGAGAACGATTTTTCATGAAGATTTAAACATTACATGTATGAGAAACCGAGAAAAAAATGAGATGAAATTAATAACACGGTGATTAGCTTCGTAAATTAAATATTGTACAATGAGAACTGTGTGTGTGTATGGAAGGGGTTGCAATGGTTCTGTTTGCGTGTGCATGCCCGATGTAGCAATAAGAAGGTAGCTTGCTTAACATATCGAAACAAAAAAACAAACCAAACTGTTCAAAGAGAAAAGAAACAAAATACAAACAACAATTAAATTCCAAACGATAAAATACAAAATGAACAAAAGCATTATCAATCAATATTAATTAAATGACAAGAAATACACCTATTCATATGGACCAAATGAAAATAAAACTACAACAACCAAACTTACTTAACCGAATCAATCAAAACAAGAGCTCCCCATAGCAAAGAACAACAAAACGAACTAAGATGATCACAAACTACAAAATAGAGATAATACTGAACTCAGTGGCAGAATGTCAAAAAATAAATGAAAGTGAGATAAGAGAAAAATAGACATACATTATTCTTGAAATATTGTTTACCACGGCTGGACAAATGTTGCCCGTTTCATAACCACGAACTGAATCATAATTGCATCTTTTTTGGAGAAGCAAACAAAAAACACAAGATACACACACATACAGCAGAAAAGTGTAAGAACTGCGCCTTAACACAGTCCTTTGTTTTAAGTGTGATCCAAATTTTCCAAAGACTTGTCATGATAGACAGAAAATCGAGTCCAATCTAATAGGAAACAAAAATACGTATGAGTATGAAAAACCATCTAAAAAAAGAATCGATCCTTTTGATAACTGAAATTTAAGCCAATAAAAAGAAACGATTGAAACCATACTATTTGGACAATGATGGAATGAAAATTTTGCGAAATTTTCATATCGATATTTTATCGACGATAAATAACTTTTAAATCATACAGAAGAACAATTTTAAATTCGAATATGACGCAAATGTTAGAATACGGTCAAATATGAAAAACAAACGATAATTGAATAAAAAAAAGAAACAAAGAGATATCGTCAGGATTTAAAAAAGAATACCTTTTTACACCATTAAACACACACACACACACCCTAATATTGTGATTTGTGATTTGTACGGTTAAGCATGTACGTTTTGTACGCGTATAAAATATCCTTCAAATGACTCCTTTTTAACAATCAGTAATAAACTAATCCAACTCATCAATGGGAATTAAACAAGAAAAAAAAACACATTTAAACTTATGGGAATGAAATACTCAAACAACAAATAATTATTGAATTAATTCAAACAGCATAAACTATAAGGAAAACCGATAGCAATATGACCTATTGAAAAGTAAATGAAATTGGAAAAACGAGTTTCAAAAGGAAAATAAAAACAGAAAGGAACAGAAAATTTAAACCGGTGCGCATGTTTAAACCAGACATCATACAGCCAATCAACATTATTGATTCATTCTTGTTATTCGTTAAGAAAAAAAACTACGCAGCTTAAAAAAAAGTGTTTGTACCAAAAAAAAACAGAATAAAATTAAAAAATTTAAAGGAATCTACCTATTTTTTAAAGGCAACTCGAATTGGCTTTAATGTTTTATTTTCCAGTTTCAACTCAATATTTAAATTGATATAAACGTTTAGAAATGGGAAAAAAAATCGTTAGAAAATTTATTAAAAGTTCTCTAATAATAATAATTGATTTAAATAAAAAAAGCATGTCACATTGTAAATAAATACATATTAAACTAATTGTTATAATAAATGGTAAAACAAAAGAAAAAAAATAATAGCTAAACCAATCAATCCAAGCTTAATCGCATGTGAATAATTAGTAAACCAATTTAAAGTGAAAAGAAAACGCAAAAATTTGAGAAGAGATAAACACAAATCGAAATTATAAAATTAGTATTTTTAACGAATACCACAACAAAACACAAAAAAGAATCAAACGAAAATATTATGATGGGAAAAAAATTGATTGTTGCCTTATACATTTATTTTTCTCTATTGCCATCTAAACCTGCTGTAATCTAATTTATTAGCATCGCAAAATCCATTTCGTGTTTAGTTATTATTTTTTGTTTTCGTTTTTTTGTTTTTTCTTACGATTCATCCATATCGAGAACACAACACTTTTTTTTCGATTCATCTACGGATGTGTTAGAGAGCGACAGCATATACAAACATTTTTCGACGAACAATGATATCGTTGTGGAACAATTGCTAAACAAAAAGGATCAAAATGTAACCAAAAAGAGGCGCGATGAAAAAAATATATATACAAAAACAAAAAATACCGGCAAAATAAAATTGAACTAATTTTATGTGTTGTATTTAACAAAGACTGATTAATAAATGCAATTTCACTTCAGTTCGAACGTATAGAGCAATCTAGAAAGTGACAAGAACTCAAATCAAGAAACTGACGTTAATTAAAACAAAACAAAAAATCAAGTAAACGAAGTTGGAATTCTAACCCTCTTTGGCGCTAGTCGAAAATAACAAAAAAAAAAAGAAGAAAACCGATGGAAGTTTTTTTTTTATTAGGGAAACAAAGACGTTGAGATGCGATTTTTCGATCGGTCGAATATATATATAGCCGTATGTTTCACGCCTCCTGAATGTAACACAAGAAATATGATGATAAACAAGACGAATTTACAAGCTGGATAACAATGAAAAGAAAAAAATAACGATGAGTTAGTCAGATGTTTTTTTTTTTAATTTTAAAGAATTATACTCGATGCAAAGAAAAAACGATTTATTTTCAATTTTTTTATTTAAATTTTTTTTTTCATTTCGATTTTTGCATATTCCACAAAAAATATGGCAATTATAATTAAGGCTTTCTGTAAATTACACAATGACAACAACAAGAAACTAAAGAACGGTGCATTTTGTATGTACCTGAGCCTACTCTTCTGGGATTGTGTGTTGCATAGAGATGAAAACCCGAAAGATTCACTGAACATATTTAGCCATTGACAGCTGGCAGTCATGTGGTTTATTAATGTGAGTTGCCTTTATATTTGATGGCTTTTTTCTTTCAAAACAAAAAACTGTCTGCTTTTAACTAAGAATTCCAAACTGATTTTTCTATGAATGAAAAGTATAATATACATATTATTCAACACTATCCTCAAGACAAGACAGGCCGATTATCGAATTTCTCGATAGGTTACATATAAAATGTCAAAAAAAAAATCAGAATAAATATTGCCGAAATGATACAGTTTCATGAACAATGCGGAATAATTGCAAAATGCAAATTGCCAAAAGATTTGGGATTAAGATCAAAGCATCCTTAGACCTTGTGTATTATTTAGAGATAATTGTTGCCAAATCAAAGCCAATCAATCGCCGAAGCGATATTGTTTGTATTCGCAAACATGATCAACACAATCGAATCAACAATGAATCATCAGGTCGTTTCATCTCAACTTTAGTGACTGTCTTCTTCATCAAAGCATGACGCATACAAAAACTCTTTGCCAAATACTACAACAAACAACAGCGAAAATACAGCCGCCAACTGTAAAAAGGATTCGAACAACACATGGTTTCGTAGCTGTCAAATGTATCATCTAGAATCGGTGAGTATTGATTGCATTCAAACTGAATCATTGACACCAAATGAGCGGCATTGTAAAAGGAATCGTTTATTTACAAACGTTTGTTTTATCATTTTCAGAACATCAACAACAAATTGAATAATGAATGACAACACCGAATGGCAAGAATGATGTAAGCGGTGTATTTTTGCGGGTGTTTGACAACGGCACAACGATGGGCTTTCAAAAAGTAGGTTGATAATCGCATTGATTTCGCACTAATTTGCACTTATAATATTGTGTATGACTAAATTTGTGTGTTTTCTCTCTCCATCTCTCTTTTGCAGTTTACAAACAGAAGACAATGGAATCTAATTCATCGGGGCTTTTGTTTTTTGCAATCTTTATGGTTAAATAATACACGACGTCATTCTTTATCAATGCTATGTCATGGTACTTATTTGCACAGTGCTATTATTCTGCATTGTTTGTAAAAGTGAATCAATTTCAACCAAACAGTTCATATACTACTAAAAGTCTTTGATTTAATCTAAAACAAGGGAATAAAAGTGCGAATTCCATTAGATAATTTTTAAGATTTATTATATAAAATATTGTAAATTAAAATTATAAAAGAATAAACATTTTTTAAGCAAGATCAAAATCGAATGTGTTGCTGGTTTGACTGTTGCATTATCGAGTATCTTGCTCTTTATTCATTGATTCGTTGGAATTGCCACGCAACGTAGGTTTGGTTTAAAATGTCATATGTGCCAATGAGAACGTAAATTTGACCCAACACCATTTCTGCGTCGCACAACTCATCGGACAGTTTCACTTGAACGTTACGGCTAATTTCCCCGTATCGAATTGGTGTCTCCAAACATTTGGCATTGAACACTCGCACCATACGGCAGTTGTACGTGGATCGACGATGCTAAACAGAATGAAAAGAATACAAACACTGTTTCATATTTCTCTATGACGATTCGTTGTGGGACTTTTGGTTTTTTTCGTTTGATTTTCTTCATAAAGCATTCAAATCTTACACAAAACTTCATATTTATCGAATGATTCTTACCTCATATTCGCTGAGATTGCCATTGCATTCGGAACAATTGTGTTTGCACGCATGTTCACCAGCCAAGATGTGGTTCTGATTGTTGGAGCATTTCTTGGGACAATACCAAATTGATTGTCGCACACACTGATATCGGTCGCCGAAACTGTGAAGCACACACTTCATCACACTGAGTGAAAGTCGAACGGGATGCCGAAACGGGACGAATTCAAAATGCTCGTTCAATGGCAGATCCGAGAATCGAATGACACAATGGATTTGTTGCAATTGCAGGCCAATGCTTGATTCTGGGTACTTTTCAACCAGGAGATTGAAAATGTAAACCCAGGCCGCCTCTCGCATATCTTTCACCGATTGCAGTGGCTCGTCCAGGATCTCGCTTAAAATCGACTTCATCTCCTCAGCCATTGCTAGTTGCTGGTAGTTCAAATCAAATCGGATGATCAAGGGTGCTTCCAATGAGTTTGGCACATAAGCTGACACATTTGTGACATAATTGTTAAGAGTCAGTTGGATTTCCTGGCGGAAAATATCCAACAAACTTCGATAAAATACTATTCTTTCACAATTCATGTTTGTGATTCACTGCAGCTGAAAACCGACTGAACTGCTGCAGTTCATGCACACATTCGAAACATAAGAATTCGTTGAAATTTGAATCTGGTTGGCATTTACCGAAGAAAAGTCACTAGAATCAAGTGGTGCCATCTGAAACATGAGTAAGAAACAGTTCAGTATCAAAATGATTTCATAAATTTTCAATAATTTAGTTTTATTACTGAGATACAGAAATACAGTGCATAATATCAATACAGAAATTCAAACTTAGTTTTTAGTTTGTTTGTTTTACTTGTTCATTTCAATCAATCATTTATGATGATTTATTTGTGTATGTTTGTTTCCTTTGTTTTGTTTTGTTTTTTTTTTAATGGTTGTGAATTCGTGACCAGTTAAAAAATAAATAAAATTCAGATTCGATATATTTGCTGCAATAAACTGCACGGCCACATCTCTTTTACAAAGTAAAACGGTAACGCAAGCCAATTAAGTAGAGTTTGTGCCATATTGCCCATCGATTCAGGATATTGATGTGTGAGCAACGCCAACAATGCGGTGAATGAGCAGAGACCGGCGGTGAAAATGATGAAAAATGGTAGCTCTTTCTTCGGGTACACGGATACTTCATGAAATGATGGCAAGAGTTCGCGATCGGCGCATTCGGTGCACGTTGGATATGGATAAAATAGGTGTCCGCGTTCCAATGGATACGGAAGCATTCGAAATGTTCCTTCCCATGTGCAATGCAACAAATTCAGTGCTCCTTCGACATTCTTCCAATGGGCCAAGTGACAAAATGCATAGGAAACGGCTTCCGAATCGCCACGCTTCAAAATATGTTCGGGTGGAAAGATTAATGACTTCATTTCCAGTAGGTACTTAGGAACGTGTGGATTAAATTCGACAGCTCTGTGTATCGCATCAACCGCACTCATTTCGGCCGCACTCAAACCCTTTTTCGATGCAATATCCGGTGAGAATTTGTCGCTGACAGCTCTTGCTTTCAGCAGAGCGGCCGTATAACAGATGGTTGCCGATTTTGGTAATGAGATGTCATCGTATTTTGCCAGCACGGCCTGACAATCGGCGTACGCTTGCATTTCTAAGAGAGCTTCAATGAGATTCTCATGGATATTCAGTACGTTCATTATCGGTGGTATTTCTTTTGTTAAATCACGGAACATTTTTACCGCCTCTTTGAGACGGCCCAACTTTCTGGCGCACATGGCCAGTCGACGTTTTATGTAAATCAGTACGTTTGTATCGCGACGATGTGCCGCTTCGGCAAGTGGTCCTTGATGCTGCAACGCTTGGGATTTTCGATAATTCAATTCGGCCACCCTCAGTGCGTGTCGCAAATACTTTTCAGCGTCGGCTATTGTTACTGCTTCCTCTTCTGCTAATAAAATATACGCAGGTCCACACTCTGGATTGATTTTCAGCGCTGCAATGGGAAAGAAAACAATTCACTTTTAATTTAATCCTTGCCTCGGAATGGAAACATTTCGATTGATCTTACCATCGCGTGCAGTTTTGATCCGTACCACTGGATTTCGTTCACGCCAAGCGGTTTGCATGAGTTCATACTCGGCTTTGCCAGCATCACATTCGCATGTAAAAAATGTCTGATGATCTTGTGCACTCAAATTCATATCGTAATAGGTGAGCGGTTCTTTCGCAGCTGCCCAATAAAAGCGCTGATACTCCGATCCACGAAAGAGATTCAATGGATTTCGCCATACCTTGCACTCGGGCACGGGTTGATTATTTGTTGTGCTTGTTTCATCATCAGTGTCGCCATTGAACCAGGGGCTGATGTGATTCAATGACACTTGTTCTGCAAAGACATAACAATGTCATATATACACATCGCACTCCATCCAATTGAAAAATTGATTAACTTACCGATAAATGAGGTGCCATACTTCCTAAAATACCACCATTCAAATATGAGTATCAAACCAGATATAAGACTAGAAGTTCCGGTGAGGGCAACATAAAATTTCGGTGTTAATGTGCTAAGAAACATTGATGAATCCCACATTTTTGCTGGCTACACCGATTTTCAATCACACATTTAAACCACAATCAAATTCACTCGTTGTCTTGCAATTCGAATTGAAGTTTAGCCACACAGCAAACGCGAGTGCAATTTTGTCGGAATTTCTATGCGTGTTGATTGCAAAGCGCAATCAAAAACAACATTCGACGAAAATCCCTACGACAATTGACAGCTGTTGTACACTCTCTCGATATATATCTATCTCTCAATGGAACAACTTTATTTGTATGCCAACCCTTCAGATAAGAATAAATTGCAAGTTTTTCGGGTGGTAGCAGTTGTCGAGGCCGATTGTCTAATCCGTACCGCAAATACAACTATCACAAAAAAACAAACCGAAAGCATTGACATGACATTTCGCTTTGCGTCAATATTCGTGTTTGTTCGAAAGTTATTTTGTATGTTGTGTGTGGCATTGATGTACACTTGAAAAAGCCGATAGAATTTTGTTTTTGTTTCGAATCGCGAATTGTGATTGGATTTTTATTTTCTCGTTGAATTTATTGAATCGATCGGTGGTTGCAGCATTTGACAAATAACGTGAGATTTTGTTTTTGGTTCGAGTGAGAGAACGGGAAAATGCCGACAATCATTGCATTGGACGTATCATTGTCGATGACAAGGACTTTACCGGTTACAACAAATGGTACAAATGGCACAAACGATGAACACATTACGTATAATCAATTGGCCGTCCAGGGAATTAATGAATTTTTGAATTATCTCACAAAGAATTCCAAACTGGAGCATGTCGCTTTGGTAAGTATCGCTGTAATACAGCTAGTCAGTCACCAATATGAGGTTCTTATCCATAAAACCGCAACATTCTTAACAATAACATAAGCGATTTACGGTCTTTTTCTCCGTGATTATGGAACAAAAGTACCAGAAAGTTCAGCTGAAAAGTGTATTATTCTATAAAATATATGCATTTCATTATGTTTACATTGGAAATTCTTTCAAAGTGTTGACATAATGTTATGTACACTGTTTCTGATGATTTGTCTAAATCATTGCAAGAACAAATGGACGTAACTCCGTTGAAAAATTGATCTAAATTGATCGATCAATCGATTTAAATCATGAAAATCATTAATTTTTGTTTTTTAAGAACAAAAGTGCAAAATATATTGATATAATTATAATCCTAAACTAAATCTCAATTCTATGTCAATTGAGTGTAAATGTTAAGAAGTCCGATAGATGGCGATACACAAACGTTTGATAAATTGAATGGTTATAGTGTCAAGTGTGTGCTTTATTCAGTCATTTTGTCGAAATCAATGTAACAAAAGCGCATAGAACCCGCGCGCTATTTTGGCTACGGTATTGTTCGTGTACGATTGCCATTCGATTGTAGAAAGAAATAGAAAAAATAAATTATGTGATATATTTTTTTATGTTTAACGGTTTTATATTATCTGCTGCAAAACCATTTATCAACCAATTATTTGCAATTACAAAGTGCAAAAAACGAAGAGTGTGCGAACCTACACGAAATACCCGAAGTAGCATTCAAATCGCAAAAATTCCATCGATTTTCGCTATATTGTCAAATACACTTTTTTTGGCACACACATCGCATTGTGTGTTCGGTATAGGAGTAATACATTCATGTTGAGCTATACCACGTGTTTGAGGTTAGCTTAGCAGCGTAGTGTCATTGCAATACTGAAATTGATTATAATTAAAAGACAGCTGTAGCTCTCTCGATCGCAAAACGAAATCGAAAAAATAAAGAAAAAGACGACAAACGAAATTTACACGATATTCGTACCTGAGACAATCCCGTAACAGTGTAAAATAGATAGGAAGTGCGTCAGTGAGCTAAAAAAAATTGTGAAAATTGCAATAAATTCGACCGAGTTTACACGGAACAGAAAAACGTTTTGCGAAACAATTTCGATATAGTCAAACACACAAAAAGTGCGAATGAAACAAAAATGAGCTCCGAAAATCCAACATACACAGTGGCAATATGCCGACCATTAAATCAACAACGAATCCAATGCGCTGGACCACATTTTATGAAATATATACACAAAATTCGACACGGTGTCGATGGGATCCTATCGAGCGCCAGTTCCACAGACGAAATTTCGGCCAACGAAACCGAATTCGAAATCGATGTTGACTACTTGAAAAGCTTGGATCCAAAGGAATGGAAGGATCAAGATCACTATCACGTATTAGGATTGAAAAATCTAAGGTATGTTCTCGGCGCGATTAAAATAAATTGACTTGTGTTTAATCAACAGCATTGTAATGAATTTTGCCAATCAACCAGTACTTTATTTCATGCGGCAATTGTATGATACCTTCTTTCAGATACAATGCCAGTGATGACGATATCAAGCGAGCCTATAGGAAAATCGTTCTGAAACATCATCCCGACAAAAGAAAAGCACAAGGCGAAAACGTGAACAGCGACAGCGATTACTTCACATGTATAACAAAAGCATATGAGACTCTAGGTAAATATCAACAGTGCTAAGAGAAATACGTGCTCAACCCCAAATGTGCTAAATGCCAAACGAACGGGCGATCATTTCAATTAAAACATTCATTTTTATTTTCAACTCTTTTCTTTCGTTCATAAGGAAATCCAACCAAAAGACGTTCATACGATTCGGTCGATCCATTGTTTGATGACTCATTGCCAACACAAAGTGAAATTAATAAGAATTTCTTCGAGACTTTTTCCAAGTATTTCGGCCTAAATGCACGATGGAGCGAAAAGAAGAAAGTTCCAGAAATAGGTGAAAAATTTGAAGACAGACCACTTGGATTGTTTCAGTTTTTAACAAATGTTTTCTTCATTTATTGCTTTGCCTTTGTTTAGGAGATGAAAATGCCAATAGACAACATGTGGACAACTTTTATAATTTCTGGTATAGTTTTGAATCGTGGCGTGAGTATAGCTACTTGGATGAAGAAGACAAGGACAAGGGGCAAGATCGTGAAGAGCGTCGTTGGATCGATAAGCAAAACAAGGCCGTTCGAATTAAGCGAAAAAAGGAGGAAATGTCACGTATTCGAGCATTAGTCGATTTAGCCTATAACAATGATCCTCGCATCGTTCGTATTAAAAATGAGGAGAAAGAGAAGAAACAGGCGGCAAAACGTGCACGCATGAGCGCGGTACAGGCACAAAAGGCCGAAGAGGAACGCATTCTCAAAGAGGCACAATTGGCCAAAGAGAAAGCCGAACAGGTCGAACAAAAGCGTATCGAACAGATTCGTTTGGAAAAGGAACAACAAAAGCGTGCATTGAAGAAAGAGCGAAAAAGTTTGCGCGACATGGCCAAAGAAAACAATTATTATTCAACTAGTGACAAAGAACGAATCAAAAACATGGAAGGCGTGGAAAAGATATGCGAAATGCTAAAACATCTAGAATTGCAAAGTTTCAATAAAGAATTGACAAGTGGCGGCCGGAATTGTTTCATCAAAATGTTGAAACAAACCGAAGAGAAATTGGAGGAAGAACGGCTAGCCGTATTTGGGGCTAGTAAAACAGTTGCAGCCGCACAACAAGCCCAACAAGCGAAACAGAATACGGCCGTAAAGGCGGTTGATAAAAGTGCAATGTGGAGCCCGGAGAATATGCAAGTTCTTATTAAAGCCGTAAATCTATTTCCGGCTGGAACGGTGCAACGATGGGAAGTCATTGCCAACTATTTGAATCAACACTGCACCAATTTATCGAATCGAAAATTTGCCGCACGTGATGTCCTGAATAAAGCCAAGGATTTGCAGAGTAGCGATTTCGCACACAATAGTCTCAAAACGCAAGCAAACAATAACGCATTCGAATCATTTGAGAAGACGAAGAAAGAGCTGAAAATCGTTGACAATGCTGAAATCAGTGTAAACAATGAGAATGATGCTGGTGTGACTAAAAAAGGTAAGAAACCGGAAACCAATGGCACAACATCAAAGAAACCAGCCGACACAACAAAGCTGAACGGTCACGCTGAGAAGAGCGAAAAGAATGAGAAGAGTGAAAAGCCAGCCACATCAAACGGAACACCAGCACCAGCTCCAACATCGGCTCCAGCCCCAACAGCAGCCAATACAACCGCATGGGGCAAAGACGAACAAGCACTGCTTGAGCAGGCTATGAAAACATATCCCGTGTCAACACCGGATCGTTGGGATCGTATCGCTGAATGCATACCAAATCGATCGAAAAAGGATTGCCTACGACGTGTCAAAGAACTCGTTGATCTGGTTAACGCAAAACGTGAAGCACAACAAGCTGCCAAATAGTGTCAACCAATTGCGATCCTTAGTCGAATTTCTTTAAAAATAAATTGTTTCTCAATTTAAATAAAAAAAAACAACAAAAAGCAAAACAACAACAGAAAATTTTAAAATATAAAACCGTTTTCAATTCTCTTAACATCTAAACTAGCGCCAATGTATTTAAACAAAATCAAACGAAAACAAATCAATTTAACTGAATATTTTGAATAAAATACAAGAAAAAAAAAACAACAACTTGTTTTGTGTTAGAAATTCTTCTATGTGTTTTTATTTCTGATTCTTTGTCCCTCTTTAATCGATTTATATCGACGCAGTGTTGTTGAATTATAATTGAATGGCATTTTCCTCTTCCGTTCAGGTGGTTTTTTCATCGAAGTACGACGTTCTGGTTGATTTCACACGAGACTACGATGCAATCCGACAGGCTTTGTTCAATGTTGAGCACTACGACAAGGTGTGCCTCGAAAATATGCTTCGATCAGCTGGTGCTATGCTTCTATCGAGTTGGGGCTCCCAGAACTATAATCAGGTATGTTGGAATAGCTCTGAAAAACTAAATTTCGTCGAAAATCCATGTCCATTTTTCTTCTCAAAAGATAGTGGCATTCACACATTGTGGCGTTGGCCTTGGAACGACATCTCTGCATAGCACAATATCCACATTGATAGCGCAGAATGCATCAAAAGCGGCGCCGACATCATCGACCAATATGCCAAAGCCACAGTTTCTGCAAAACGAAACGTCCAGCGAGAGTTGGATTCCATTTTCAGGTCTGAGCAAATTGAGCTTCATTTGTCTGGGCTCAACAGCTGAGCCATACTTTCAAACGGCAATCGAACTGTACCAGCAGCTTCTGGATGTAAGCGGTCAGAAGGGACAACTGTTTGTTGCTCACGTTGAATCCGAAGCCAGTAAAGTCATTAAGAGTACATACAATGGAGACGCAGCAGCCTTTCCAACCACATCACAATGGAAGAATGAAATTATCACGCGGCTCATTGACGAAATGTGCGAAATTAACTATAAACCATTTGAAGCCATTCTGAATTGTGGCGAATACCATAAGCTCGAATCACCAATTGTCATTTGGCCATCGCCAATGGTAAGCTTTACTTGAAAATTCGACGGAATTTTTTTTCCAACAAATTTCAATGAAAGATATGGCGAATATCAAGTAAACGACTTTCTTTGTCACATTCCAGCCGTACGATGATGAGAGAGAACCACCAAAAATGATATCACGAACTATAACCGTGTGTGGGTTTCTCAATTTAGCCGATATTGGTTCGCCAATGTCGGTGAGTCGTCATCTAATACTGCCGAATGAGAATTTAACCACAGCTCGGCCACAAGGAACGACCGATGCCGAAAAATTGGAGAACGACATCAAGTCGTTTTATTCAAAATCAGAAGAGGATGACCGATCCGACCATAATAAATCCACCGATGAGTCTGCTTGTGTGCTGCTACACGGTGCCTTGAAATTTGAAAATCTAGCGGCAGTTGTTGTTCTCAACGATGACTGGTTTGGTTTTCTGCACTCATATTCAGACAGCAAACGAAAATCAAATATCATCTTAACGATTTTACCACCAGGTAAACAGCAGTTAGTGTCTGCCAGACACGTTGTTTTTAAGTTGAATGAAAAACGCTCACTCTTGGTAATGAAATCATGTTTTCGTAGGCAACGACAATATCCCATGGTTGAGCGACTTTCGATTCTTTGCCACGGCTAACGGAGCGTTACCGGGAGAAAATTCCCAATTTCCCATCAAACCTATTCTATAGAGAAATTTTCAATGAAATTAGTTGTGAAAATCAGAAATAATTCAAATTAATTTTCAAATCATGAAGAGATTGACTCAATATTTGATTAAAATGCCAACATTTCGAACATTTTTGTAGGAGCTCAACTGCATCAGAAGAGCGGCACTTTCATTGGGATTTGTTGAACTGTTGGACGCGCTTTCAACGTTATTTGAGCGAGAAGCATTGTTACCTCAAAATGCCAGTCCAGATTGTGGCATTCAATTAAAACACTCAGCTATTGAACTACGGAAACTTTCGAATCGAGACCTTAAAATCTCCTTATCACATCATCCAACAAAACACAATCATCTTATGTAATAAAAGTAATAGTTTAAGTGCTCATTTCATTCACAAAAGTCTATTTTAAAATTAAATAAATCAATTGACAACAAAAAACCAGGTTTTTTTCTTCATTCCTTAATAAATTGAATTTCATAACGTTTTACATCGATTTGAATTACTTGTTTCCCTCTACATTTATTCGCATGTGAATGCATGTGTAGTATTTTGCGATGTTCCCATGAGAGCAGAGGGCGCCACGCGTAAGTTGTGTGTCGGGCGAATCAAGTTGATTTGACATTTTGTTTTGGCGCGATTTAGACGTTTTTATATATTATAATTTGGCTGTACTTCGTTGACTGCTTGGTTGGAAACAGAAAAACGAGAAGAGAAAGAGTTGAATTTTGCAATTGAATTTTGTTTGTTATTAAAATATATATATTCTTGACCATGAAGTGCGTGATACCAGAAATTTCCTGGCATAATCGTGATCCAGTGTTGAGTGTAGATATTCAACCGAAAGTATTGGAAGGTGATAATAAGATTCGTTTGGCATCTGGTGGTTTGGACACACATGTTTTGGTTTGTACTAAATTGACGCATCATTAGCTAGATACAATAACTTTAGCTCCGGACGGGAGAGTGTTTCGAATATAATTCATCAAAAAAACATAATTGAATCCAATAGATTTGGTACATTTCCGAGAATGACGAAGGTTTGCCAAAATTGGAACTGGCATCTGATTTGGCAAGACATCAGAAATCGGTGATGGCTGTGCGCTGGTCACCGTCTGGACAATATTTGGCGTCAGCGGATGAAGAAGCAATTTTCATTTGGAAATTGAAAGGTGAAAATGATCCCGGTCTGTTCGGTGAGTATTCATAACAAGAAAAAGTTTAGTGGTCTGAGTGTTGTTTGTTCCAAAAAGTGATTGAAACCGATTCATTTGTTCATTGTGATTGAAAAGATGACAGCAGTGAAGCAAACAGAGAAACATGGAACATTTTCAAAACGTTGCGTGGCCATTTGGATGACGTTCTTGATTTGTCTTGGTCATTGGACTCATTGTATTTGGCATCGGGAGAAGTTGGTTGCACGGCCATGGTGTGGGATGTGATGAAAGGAAAAAGTAAACTCCTTTTGAACGAACACAAAAACTTTGTGCAGGGCGTCGCTTGGGATCCAAAGGACAAGTATTTAGCAACGATTTCATCAGATCGGTGTGTAGTTTGTTTACAATTCTCGAAATATTTGATGATCATTTATGAGATGAATTTTTATTTCAGAACATTGCGGTTTTTTGACTCGAAAACCGGTAAAGTTCTTCGTCGCATAAATAAGGCAACATATCCAGTCGGTCCGTCATCACCGCTGTTCAATAAAAACATTCGGCTCTTCCATGACGACACACTTCCAACATTCTATCGACGATTGTGCTACTCACCCGATGGCAACTTACTGTATGTTTGTTTATCAACGAACACAAAACAATGAGCACTAATTTTCAAAACATTTATCCATAGGGTTGTGCCGTCTGGTTGTACGGACATAATTACTTCGAGTACTGAAAACAAAGAGGAAGCAGAAAAACAAAATGAGAACAAAGAGGATGCTTCCAATGGAAAAGATGAAGCGGTTGAAAAACCGGAAAAGCCCGAGAAACCCGAGAAAGCCGACAAACAAAACAAGCTGCAGAACGTAACTTACATTTTTACTCGATATTCAAAAGAGCCGGCCGTTATTATACCATCGAAGAAACACTTCACACTAGCGGTTCGATTCTGTCCGACCATATTCAAATTGCGGCCACACAATGAGAACAATCCACCGATGATCGATTTACCCTACAGAATGATTTACGCAGTCGTTTCGAAAGATTCCGTCTATCTGTATGACACACAGCAACGGATACCGTTCGGATCGATTTCGGATATTCATTACGCCAGGTTGACCGATGTCACATGGTCGAACGATGGTCGAATTTTGATCGCGTCCAGTTTTGATGGATTTTGTACATTGATTTCCTTCGAAGACGGTGAACTGGGTGAGGTATACGAGAAATCGATCAATCTGGTCGATACCGACGACAAAGAGAATCAAACGAAGAGAAAGCGCACCAGCAATGATGGCAAGAATAAAACATCACCAAAAATGCAAAAGTCCGACAAAACAGAAGCATCAACACCCACGACATCGATCTCAACGAAAGAAAATGCGCAATTGATCGTAAAGCCGAAAATCCAAATTCCAGAGACGATCATTGCTTCGGCCGAAACATTTGAATCGCCAGAGTATAAGGAGAAACAAGCGACACCAATTGCCATACGACGTGCGCCACGTACTAATCCATCAACACCATCGTCCGCCACTGCAACGCCAAAATCATCCGACACTGAATCGGCAGCGCTCAGTGCAAAGAAGCCAAAATTGATTGCAATTCGACGGCAACCACGTAACATTTTGCCATCCTCGCCAGCGGTTGTAGAGAAATCAGCGGCCGATCAAGACGAAGCTTTGGACGCTTGGCCAATTCCAATTGACACCGTAAAAACCACGGAAGAAAAAGAGTCGAAACAAAAACCCAAGAAAGACGATGCACCAATCGTGATCGAAGATGAAACCGAAGATATGCACTTGGTGTATGAGGGTGAAAGTGAATTGACGTTGATCAAAACCGAAACGATTAGCGAATCAATAACAAAGCAAACCGACACACCCGGCAAGGCGATAACAAATACTCCAGCTCCTGAACCATCATCCACATCATCATCGTCCAATGAACAAAGCAGCACTCCCGATACGAAAAACTCGAAAACTCCGCGCCGCGTTCAATTGCGTACAATTTCCACACCGAAATCAAAGAAGAAACTCATCAATTGAAAAGCAGAGCATTCATAGCGAATCTCAAACCAGATTCAATGCGGACAGTCGACCAAAATTCAATCAACAAAACCGAAACTGAAAATGAATGAAGACAGAAAAATGAAAAGAAAAAGCAAGAAAATAAACGAAATAACGAAGACACTTGTTGTTTTGTTTTCCGTTAAATGAGTTTTCCTTTTTCTTTATTTATAGAATGTTTAGATGTAGAATTTATTCGGTAAATAGTATACTTTCATTTTGTGCTTACTGCATATAATCGTAATCGAATCATCATCCAAAGTAAAATAAAAACAAAACGAAACGAAAAAAGAACATTATTCTCTGTTACAATAGTTGCAGACATTTGGCATATGAATTGTAAAATGTTTAGTTATCTTCTTATTTATCATCTGTATTTTCTTTTCTGTTTCTTTTCCTTGTCAGTATCATCATCATCAATAATAATAATTTGTTTCGGTAATTCCGTTAACTTAAACAAAATAGCTGATGCTCTCATTTCAAGCTTGAAATCGATGCATTGACGTTACAAAAATAGTGTAATAATTCACAATGAAATCATGTTGATAAGTAATGTTGGAATTCAGGGAGAGAGAGAAAGATGAAGAAGCATTAACTTAAATTATTTTATGGACAGGAACAGCATTTAGTTTAGAAAGACATTTATATATTTTTTGTTCATTTTCTTTGAAAGGAAAGCACAAAATTTATTGGAAGAAAAAATGAAAAATAAAAAAGGATTCAACTGATTTGTGAAGCGATGCAGAATTCATTTTTGGGATGTGTTAAGTGCTTGAATAGTCTCTCACTGAAGATAGTAGTTGTATACGTATTTACAGGGGAAGCGAAAGTAAGTGTTTTATTACACAGAAATGTGTACATTTGAGATATAGTATTTTGTTTTCTGGGTTGAATTTGTTCACGAACGTCATCGTTTCTGAAGACAGATACAAAATAAAAGTACATTTTACGTTTAAACATTACAAATGAAATAAAATCTACTATCACAGGCCATATGCATAAACATAATCGATAGAGATGAGATGCGGTAGTTTTGTTTCTTATGTTTGTCGCTTTCTATTTTCTAATTAGTAGTTGTGCCACTTCCAGCTAAGTGTCTTAAATCGATTTTATTTTCTCTTGTCTTTCTTTTGTCGATTTATGATCGATATTTTCATCATCATCATCATCATCATAAGGGGGCGTCTATCATAAGTCATTCGAATCGGATAGTGTAGCTGTTTTGAATATAGTATCCAATCCAATCATCTCTGGCTAATCTAAATTATGCTGTGTTTTTTTGTTTAAAATATTTCCGCATATAAAATACTTTTGCTTGATTAAAATGTATTGCTGTTAATGTGCTTGTGTCGTCGGTCGTCTGTATTGATAAAAGGTGCGGAGAACATTTTTGGAAGAAACAATTCCTGCTTGTTTTGTCATCATTCATGATGAACAATCATCGAATTATGCAAGTAAAATATCATTATCCCGAATCGGGTTTACTCGTTTAACAATTTTGGTAGTTTAATTCGGAGTTTTATGGTTCAAAATCGATTTTGATTCGATCTCTTGATAAATTGATCAATATTGATACGACGATTTTTTTTTCTTCTTCTTCAAATAGCAATGGGAATACATTTTTTATTCTTCTTTTTCTTCTTTAAAAAAATGGCCAAAATCTTATATTCAACGACCATCGGGTATCTATGATATATCAGCATGTGGTTTTAACTTAAGAATCTACGTTCAAATACACAGGATTTAAATAAAAAAAGGAGTTTTATTGCGTATACAATGCAACTGGATCAGCCATTATTTGTTTGCCTTTATTTAAAGTAGCGGTTAAATTATGAAATAGGTAACATTTTAACGGTCTAAAATATTCTCATCTTTTTTTTCCTTGTTTTCTTGTCATAAAAATGGTTTACTCGAATACGTATACATTGGTTTGCGTTTTGTTTTATTTTATTTTATTTTTTGCTCGGCTTTTGTTCACATCTCTTCTCTTAGTTGTTTGAATGGTTTCATTTCCAGTTGTTCACACACACACACAGTTCACATAATTTCCTTTCGGTTTTAGAAATTTTTGTGTTTTTTCATAGTTTCATGATAGCCTACGAATTAATTCGACCTCCTCTTAATTAATGGGGCTCTTAAATATAAAATATAGGTAATTTTAATTAAAATAATATACATTGATATATGATTTCATATAAAGATGGGATGGAATAATTTACGTATATATTTTTTCTTTCTTTTCGCATCATCATGTGATGATAGCTCAAGTTGAGTTGAATCGCAATATCAAAGCATTTTTATTCACATTGAATCTTCTTCTTTTCTCTTTTCATTTTAAATATGTTTAGAATGGTTTTTTGCTTGTAAGATTTTCTTTTGTCTGAAATTTGAATTGAATCAATTTCAATTCGGTTTGCCAGCTATTTGAGCGTTGTAGATTTAAGAAAACTTGTTTGATTGGGACAATAAAAGGTAATTTCCTTATTCTAGCAACATTTTCAAATGGGAACAATGGTAGTTTTTCACATTTTTCTGTGAAACTTGCAAGTACATTTTGATTTGTCTTTGTGAAACAAATCTGTTTTTTTGTCTCAAAAAAATTGGTAAAACAGAAAGAAAAAAATGAGGTATCATTTACGTATACATGGTTTGACTGGTCACAATTGGAATCGATTGGAACTTGTCGACGAAATTGTACTAAAAAAGGTATTAGTATATCAAGTTTTAGTTTAGTTGAATTATCATGTCAATGACATAGTTTATCTTTGTATTTTTAGCTTAACTAACGACAACGTTATTTATAATTTATTTGGCACCAGAGTAAAAAAAGCAAAGTTTTTTCTTGTTGTTGTTGTTTTGTTTTGTTTATTTGCGAGGAAGAGATAAAACTATTTTGACTTGTAAAGTTAATAAACTTGGTATACATGAGTGAATTTTTATCTCTAGAAAAGAATTAAGTGCAAAATATGTACAGTTGTGTCCGGCTGAACTTGGCAAATTTCAGTTCATCTCGAATCGAGGACTTGCTTTTTTAGTATACTTTCATTATCAATGTCTTTTTTTTGTTGCTTCACAAAGTTTCTTTACTATCCCATTCGACGTGGATTTTTTTCTCCATATTTCTGACTGTTTCACTTAAGACTTACTGTATACATATCAGTAGTTTCATAGTTCTGGCACATTTTTCTATGTTAATCTCTTTTCTTTTCATTGTTTAATTCTATTTTTTTTGTCTTTGAGAGAACCAAAAGATAAATTTGTTTGTGTTTTTTTTCCACCATTTCCAAACTAAATACGAGTATTTATGTAAGTAGGAATTTTTAGTACTATAGTTAACCTGATTTCGTTCAAATTTAAGAAAAAATACAGAACAGAATTGAACAAAGAAAAAAATTCTTATTTAAATTCCTGATTCAAATATGGCACCACTGAAAAATTACATTTTGGAATGAATGGGCAAGCAAAGTCATCAAATTAATGAGCCTTAAACAATCAATTGAACAATTGAATAACACCATGGATAAAAAGAAAACAATCATTCCTAACTGCAGAGTGAAATAAACCTAGATGCTTTTGCTGTTCTATGAAAAACACAAAGTACAGATAAACCTTAGCACTAGCAATCTGTGCCATTTTTCATAAGGCGTCTCCACTCGCATTGAGTTTGTATTGTGAATGTTGAGGTGCGTGCAACGCCCTTCAATGTAAAAAACAATACAAGTGGAGATGATACACGGGATTTATCTGTACTTTCAATGGAAAATAACGAAATAAAGGAGAACCGAAAATGAAATCATATTAAATGTTATATGCGCCGTTTTTGGTTCACTGCTTTTGGCCACTTCATTGATTTTGCTTGCTTTCCGTGCCAAAACTATCTTCGCTCTCATCACTGCTGCAGTAATTGTTGCTTGCGAATCTTTGTAGCATTAAAAGCCGTTCATTGTCGGTGCACAGCATGTTTGGATTCGTATTTTCGGTACCACGATCGTTTAATGATTGTGTCGTTGTTGTGTTGTTTGCTGCCGACGAATATGGTGATGTTGATTTTTTCTGTGTCTCATTACCCGAGTTCGCCTCTATTGATTGTGTGTTTGCGTTTTTTTTTCGATCGAAGCGCATCGATGTGATTCAGTAGGGTAATTCACAAAGTTTTGATGGTGATGATGGTAGTGGTGGTTGTGGTTTTTTTTTGTTCGTTATTTATGTTGCATAACATTTTGTTTTATTACAAAATTTGCGTAATAAAAATTTAGCGAAAAAGAACAGAAACAGGCAAAATTGTAACCACAGTGTTTAACTTTCGAGTTGAATTGGCGTACCTGGATTGTGTTGATTTGAATCGTTGGCATGCTCGAGCATCGGCTGCAAAATCCTTCGCCGGGCATTTATGAACCAATTGTTAACCTGTAAATGTGGACGAGAAAAGAAATTGGAATGGTTTTGTTTTAATGCACAACGGAATGGTAATGTGAATGAACCGGTATCAAACCTGCAACAATGTCAGATTCGTTTGAGCGGCGATAGCTCGTTTCTCGTCTTCGGTTGGATACGGGTGCTGTTTGCCAGAAAACACATATCAAGACGACGAAAAAAGAATAGAACATGGAAAGAAATACAAAGTAGCTTAAAAACCCATGAAAGAATGAACACGGAGAAAGGGAAAAGACAAACAATCAAAGTCGCTGAATAAGATCTTACCACTAAATGTTGAAAGAGCCAAGCTCTCATGACGCTGGTCGCTTGCTTTGGCAAAATTCCACGCTTTTGTCGCTTTGAGCCCGATGTATTGGAAACATTTGAACTCAGATCATCGTTAATCGAATCAATTTCCGAGTCGCCTTCGTCGGAGCTATTGCACGGTGACAATTGGTCTGCTAAACGACAATAAACATCAAAATGGTTTACGCTGTAGCATTTGCGAGACGATGGAGCAAAAAAAAAACAGGCGAAAAAGCACGTGTCGAGAAAAATCGACACGGGCACAGACGAAAGCAGAAAAGAAGGAAGCAACGGCACAAATAAATTCCACTTACTTGCATATGGATCTATTGGCAATGGACATCCGATTTGACTGAGCGGTGTTGAGCCTAGTATCTGTGATGAAATCATCGAATTGTGATTTGGTGAGTGTCCACCGTCAGCATTCATATTGCCAACTAACGATGTAGGAATTGTAGCATTTGACATATTGTTTAATTCATTGGTAAATGTATTGTGATCGGTTGTAATCGAATTATTCGCATGAGACGGTAAAAATCCTATTCGGTAGTGAGACAGAGAGAGATAGATTAAAACGAAAGCAAACAACAATGATTGAATGCAATGCATTTGGGATGCACAGCGCCGTTGACGCTTGAATTGGCAAACTTATCGCTTACCTTGAATACTGCTAAAGTCATTTAGTTTACTTCCACCTAAAAAATCATTCGTTCCAAAAAAATTCGATTGCTGTCCGCTTAAACTCTCCTGAAAACAGAAAAAAGTACAAAAACCGTACGATGATTGAACATTTGGCATTTGGCATTTGGAATTGAATGTAAAATGATGTGCGAGTATGGGTGAAGTGTTGCGAGTTACAAGCGCTTACGTGATCTGGAGTGTTGACGGGGCTGTTTGAATTTGACAAATTATTGTTGTGCTCAAGTGGATAGTCAGATCGCAGCAGATTTTCCGATTGCATTTTTCCTCTTAAGCACGCTATATATCGAGTGCAGAAATCTCGGCATAATTCTTGAACCTTTTTTTGTTGTTGTTATCAATGCATTTTTGTTATTGTTGAAAGCGTGTGTTTTACCATTTCGACAACGGCGACGAGACGATGATGGGCACAAAACAAGCGACATAAAAAGATATAAAATGTAAATACAGTCGAAAAAATGTGTCGATGGGAAAACGAAAAATCAACTTGATAGTCTATGCCTATGTACAAACCTTTTCAAGTTCGAGCAAATGGATTCGAAGCACTTGTAATGCTTTTATCATCTTAAAAATATAATAAACGAGGAAAAAGGCATTCCCATTAATTATTCAGCGTATTTAGTTGTGCGCAGTTCGTTCTTAATTAATTTGACGAGAACATAGCGCGAGAGAGAGAGAGAGAGAGAGAGAGAGAGAGAGAGAGAGAGAGAAGAAGGAATAGAGGGCAAAGCGCATAGCATTGCCTAACACTCACCAATCCATCGAGTTCAGCATTATTTGTTAAGAGTGGCCGATTTTCTTTCTCCAGCATTTGGATAAATGCTTGAATGTCTTTCGTAAACGAATCCGATTCACCATTTGATGTTCCATTTGGGCTCGATGAAGATGTCGTCGACGACGCCTTTGGAATGTAGCCTTGCGTGGCTTGTTCACATTTCTCAAGCATCAATGCCAGTAGAGAAAATAGCGGATGCCTAACAAAACGACATAACAACAACGAAAATAAACAAGTAAAAACCATCAGAAATGAAGAAAACACCGAACGAACAGGGAAAAAAAAAAAAAATCAAATAAATAAAACTAAGTATGGGAGCGCAAAATATTGTGGCGATGGAACCATACGAACGAACGAACAGAAGTAGTCGTCAAATAGGGAATAAGCCATTCGACGATGTTCTTTGTTCGAATTTGAAAAGGATATGGATGCATATCGAACCATTTATTTTTATTGGCAAACATTGTTTCGAATGTTCGAATATGTGTCCTGTGTGTGTCTGTGTGTTTGCGCCACATCGATGATTTTAGATAGATGCATAGTCCATCGATCGTCGCAACATGTGCAGAAAAAAAGAAAAAAACACACACAAACACACATTCTTAGGTTTTCATCGAAAATCGTTTTTGAAAATACACAAAAAAATTATGTAGCATTTGAATCTCTAGCACGACGAAGCAGAAGAAAAAAACTCAAACAAATGAGACACAAAATCCCATTCGATCGTCGGCCACATAGAAAGTCAGAGAATGAAAGACGAGAGGGTTATCCATTTATATATGTAGAGACACCGAGAGAGAGAAAGAGAGAAAATCGAATGCAATGCTGCGTTCCAAACTCATTCCATCCAGAAGCGACCCGATTACATTCAATGCTGTCGTGAATAAAGCATTACTGTCAACATACAGCATCACACACGAACATCATATGCTTGTTTGTCGATGCAAACGCGCGCGTAATGAACTCAGTTAATTTTCTCACACTCACACAAAACTGATGGCCACAAACTTCACTTAATGGGATTCCATATGATTTACAGTCATTCATTTAATAAACGTTTGGACCACTTGTGTGCTCCGCTTGCTTGCCTGCTCTCGCTGCATCGCACAACCGATGTTGTATGTGCATCGTTCGAAGGAACGCACAAAGATATGACTCCCAATTTTATATTTCATCACGAATTTTTCCTTGTGCATGGCTCTAACACGCCGAACATTGTGTGATTGCCATTAATTCACATGCTTCAAATGCTTCTTTTTTTCCTCTTTCGTTTAGCTGGTGTGCTTTTTCTGTTCATTTCATTTTGGGCCATTCAATGCATATGAATTCGCATTCTCCTGCTTAAATATCAATAACAACATCGGCTTTCTTCCACTCAAGAATATCCCGTATCCAATGTGTGGTGGCCCATGCATATGTAGCATATTTATTACATACATCGTGCATGTATGTTTGTGCCTGCCGCTTTTTTGCGCTCTTGTGTCGCATATTTTCAGTGGGATAATCGGTCGCAGCTTAAGTGGAGAGAGAGAGAGAGAGAGAGAGAGAGAGAGGGAGGGAGAAGGAACGAGAAAAGCTCATGTTATTCGAATTATGCATCATGCGTGATTAAAACGATATGACGAGAGTGTTTTTTTCTTCGTTCCGTTCGTTTCTTCATCGGTTGTTCATTGAATCATCTTTGGGCAAAGACATACATGTGCCATACTCGTGCACTGCGATGTGGCAGCATATTAGCTGGATAAATCATTCAAGTGCATGCGTGAATGTTTGCGCGCTCATATGTGATGTACGAATCATAAGGATCGTTCAGAATGATAATATAGCATACGCGTCATTTATTGCAGAATCTTGTTGTTGTTGGTGCTGCTGCTTTTTTCGTGCTCTTCTCCTTCAATTTGTTTTGTGTTTCGCTCGCAAGCGTCCAATAAAAATCGTCAACAAGATCCTATTTTTTCACTCTGGTGTTTTTGTTTATCGGTATTCCATGCATTTGTGCTCGCTCACATGGAGCCAGAGTGCGAGTGTGTATGAATTGTCGTCGATGTTCGTCTATAAATTTGAAAAAAAAATCAAGAAGTAATTGATATCGAACGAATTGATTTCGATATGGACTTTAATCATTCATTTGGAAAGATTAAGAAGCACTCGAACTGATAAAATCCGTTCAAAGGGCGTGCGAATCCAATTTTTTGTCCTCTTCCTCTCTCTCTCTCTCTCTCTCTCTCTCTCTCTCTCTCTCTCTCTCGCTCTCTCCCACTCTTTCGGTTGTTCGCTGGCAAAAACAAATTGAGGGCATTTCACCTCATAAATTTGAGCTAGTGGTTTCATGGATGCGAACAACCTCAATATGCGATGTCTCTCGCACATTTCATCGTCCACACATATTCGAATGACTTTCTTCGAACCAAGTTGATGATGAGTCTCTTTCGAATCTTTATCGTTTTTATTCTGATGCTCATCGGGTTCACGTCTTTTGTTTACATTCCATGCACACAAAAATGAAAATGTATGAGAATTATGCGGTTGACACGATAAAATTTTCAAAGAGCGATGGGCTCTTACGTGCCCTATCAAATGTGTGCACACACACATACTTGGTGTGGCTGATGCTCTCTCGCTCTCTCTCTCTCTCTCTCTCTCTCTCTCTCTCATTCTACCGCACGTTGAAATCGAACAAACGAAAACGGGAAATATATTTGGCATTTATGTGAATTTAACTATGTATAAATTTTCACTCTTGCCACATCGAGTGTTGCTGCCATTGTGGCTGTTGCCATTGACACTGCACACGAGCACACAGATATCATGCCAATAACAAGAACATTTTCTTGCTGCTTAGCGTTGATCTGAAAGCGAGCAGCATTTTCGTACTTTTTCTCTTTGTTGTTATCGTCGGTGGTATTGTTGTTGTTGTTCTGGTTGCTTGTTTTGAAACGGTTTTAGCCGCTCACATCTGTTTATTGGTTCCGAGTTTTGCATAAAAGCACTGAATCTCGTCGCTTTTTCTCTGTGTGTTTGCCTCACAATTCTCTCGTTTACCATCGTTCAAAGTCTTGCATCGCTTCGAATATACTATATTTTTCACACACACACACACACACACACATACACACACAAAAGGGGCGAATATTATTGTGCACGCGTCACGAAAATAGCGCCAAAAAAAACAAGGAGAAGAAAAACCAACGCACGTTTAATATGTAGAATTTTGTCATGCATGTCTCGAAAATATCATCAAATATCAAACGGAGAGAGAGAGAGAAAGGGAGAGAAGGAAAGAGATAGAGAGAGACCGAGAGCGGAACAAAGACAGACTGAATGAACACTTTCCCATTTCGAATGTTGCTGGTGGGGAATGTTTTTGTCGTTTGGTTGTCGTATTTTGCGTTGTCATTTTGGTTTGGTTTGCGATATTTGCATGATTTTTATGTATTTTCATGTTTTGTAATTCAATTCGGAGCGCGCAAAAATTTCTATTGCTATGCACAATTGATACATATTTTGTGAATGCTGCTCGGTGTGCGAGTGTGAGAGTGAATATGGTATGTGGAAAACGGCAGACAAACCAAATAAATAAAACAACAAACAGGAAAAAAAGGAGGAGAGCGTAAGCAAGAATGCACGACGAAAAGGAGTGAGACTGCTCGAATGCGAGCGAGCGACAACGAGAAGGAAAAGCGTAAAAGTTCAATCTCTTCTCCACAAACATTGTAATGGTTTTATAGAACGGAGTTCGTCACATCGAACACATTAAACGAAACACAATTACATTTTTTTTCGGAGATCAAGCAAGAGAGAAACTGCATATCGCCATCATTGTCACAAAACCGCAACCGACGAGCAAAGGAAACGAGCGGACGAGAGAGAGAGAGAAATATTTTTAATTCCTAATGTTGCAGTTTGGCAAGCCGAAAATGCAATGATCATTCGATTCATATAATCGTTGTGAGCATGTGACATAATGTCGCTAGGCAATAAATAACATTATGTGCGAATAATCCATGGTTCCGTAGTTTTATTGCCGAAAAATGTTAATTGCAACGGCAACGATGACGGATTTATCCCCACGCACACCGAAAATAAAAAACGAAACAATTGATGGAAAAGCGAACAGCGAAAGAAGAACCTGCCATTTGTAGAATGTTTCGGTCGAATAAAGCAAAGGGGAAAAACAGCCGAAAGAAAAAACAAACCAAAACTACATGCCACTTGAAATTGACAACAACAAAAAAACGGGAAAACTTCGTTTAAACGTCGAAGAATGGGAAATGAAACAAAAGGAAAATCGAATAGACGAATAAAACAAATTGTATTTACTCACTTGTATACAGCCCGTTTGTCGGCTTCAAACTGTGCTTGATCGATAATATTTGCGTTCGGCGATGCAGGAATGCTGTTCTCTTGCATTTTGTATTGTTGCTGGTTTGCGTTTGCCTTAATTCGATGTTCGCTGCGCTCGCAACGCTCTTCTTTCCAATTGCTTAAATACTTTGGACTTTTTGTTTGATTTTGTTGTTGTTATTTCGTTCGCTGAAAAGGAAGTTTTATACTCCTCGGTGCTGTTTGTTTTTTTTCTGCTTCTTCTTCTTCTTCTCTATCGTTGCTACAATTCCGAGTGCAATAATGTCACTGAAATGGCAATATTACCATAATTTCATCGTTTCAAATGTATTGGTAAATATATTTGGAAGCATCGTTTCAATTTTTGCCGTCACGATTTTCTTCGTTCTTCTCTTTTGATTCTCTTCACCGCACTCCGTTGAAATGGCTGTAACGAAAAGATGAACAGAACAGAAAATGTAAATAATTCACATCATAAAAGTCTAGTTTCGTCTGTGTGAGTGTGTGTGCAAGAGAGAGAGAGAGAGAGAGAGAGAGACTGTCGAAACGAATGTCAAAACAAAATGAAAATAAATCGAGAAGTTTTCATTGCAAAATTTTAATTGATTTACTAATTAAGTGTAATTAAAGTTGTATTTGCCGTAATTCACACGCAACACTTTAGTTCACTGCACAAAGTATTAATTTACTTTGGGTCAATATTGTGTCGCACACGAAACAGTGGCGAATGCCATAAATTCGAATTATAACACAGACAAACACGAACAATTGACACATACAGTACAGCACGTTTCCTCCCGTGTTGCCTTGTCACTTGATGATTCTACTTTGGCGCTTTTCTGTCATTTGTTTGTAATTGTTCAGTGTTGAAAAAATTCACATCAACAATGGATTCGATTTGTATATGATAACAACAACAGCAACAACAATAACGAAAAATGAAACACCTCATCCATTTGACAAAAGCAATTGCGATGGTACAAAGTAATCCTATTAACGAAAAAAAAGAAGAAAAATGATGTTTGATCTACTATATACGTACTCGTTGGGTAAATGAAACATCAACGAGGGCACAATATATAGCTGACAACTAAGTTATAAACCAAACGGAAGAAATCTGAACGGATTTTTATTTTCTCTATCGTCTGTGAAATGAAATCAAAAGCCACTTCGTTTCTCATTCGGATTGAATTGTGCGAATTCATTAAAAGTGAAATGAAATTGACAATCGAAATAATCTTATCTTCATTTAATGTGTTTTGCTTTTTTTTATCAGTTTATAACGTATCTACCAATTTGCTGGAATTAGTCATAAAGATAGCATGAAACAGGAGCTTAATAAACAGTGAATTCACGTATGGCTAAAAAAAAGTTTATGAATATCGATGTGTGCATGTCAAGTGTGTGTTGTTGGATCAAATCGAAATCTGAAAAGAAACGGGTCGCCAAAATATAAAGAACGAAATGCTCGTTAGCGAAAGTCAATAAATTTTTCATTTGTATACAAATTTCTCTTCTTCACTCGCGTGTAAGAAGCGATGCCATTATGAAAGGGATCACTTCGTTCAGCAATGAGTGTGCTCATTGAATAATTTTTCTTCTCTCACTCTGTCGATCTGTTTCTCTGTCTCATTCTCTCGCTTATTTCGGAAGGCCAAAATCCGGCAAGGTGTTGCGCTTTTCGGTTCGCACACTCATAGTTGTCGAAAAGGGAAAAATATGTATATATATATATCAATGCTTGTACGAAATAGGTGGCGAGAATGTTGCTACATAAAGTGGATTTTCTAATAAGAAAGTCGAAAGCGTGTGTACGAGAGACAGAAACAGATGAATTGTGTTTTGATTGGCAAAGCTACTAAAACCACCGGAATAACTGTATTTTTCTGGTAATTTGGACGGAGATCGAAGACGAAACAAACAGAAAAAATAAGCAACAACCATGAGGCGCGCACACACGGAACACACAACAACAATAAGAGCAACAGTAACATCTACCTACCCTAACACAGTATTGAGTTGAAAACCCTGCATACGAACAGTACGGCAGAGTGTGAGAGAGAGCATTGAGCACAACCAAATGAATGGGAAAAACCGTAACAAAAACAATAGCGATGAAGAAAACACGGAGAAATATTAATATTTATTTATACATAAATATGTATGCAAGCAAATTATATCGTTTTTGTTGCTTGCAATGCTGTTAAGGCTGTTGCCGATGTTACTCCTATTGCTACTATTTTGCGCCGCTATTGCTGCTGCTGCTGCTGTATCTGCTCTTTTTTTGTGTGCTCTCTTTTTCTTTTTTTTATGATCACGAAGCAAAGAAGTGTGAGTCTGCTGTTTGCATAAGCTTAAGCAATGTATTTATATGCCGCCATTTGCTGTGCGCTATGATCCTGGGTCCTTTTGTTTTGTTTGCTCTTTTTGAATCTTCACTTATTGTATTTTGCTCGGTTTTCTCGCTTCTGTGTCTCGCTCTCTCGCTCTCTCGCTTGCTCCCACACAGTGTCTGTCTCTTTACAGTTATAAAATTATAGTTGGCCAAATATAGCCCGTTTTGCCGTAGATGTGTGGAATGAGTCGAGCCCTCCAATAGCTAAAAGACACTTTGCGTGAATGTGAATGCTGTGTGTGTGCGCCTCGGAACGAGTGTATGGAGAGAATGTTGTTTTTCCTCTATATTAAGGTAACATTTGGGTTTTATTGCAATTTTCTTTCACACATCCGTGCGCGCGATTTCACTTCCAATTGTACTGTTTGTGTGTGTGTGTGTGTGTGTGTGTGTGTGTGCGTATATGTGGCTGGCTATACATATTGCATATTGCTCATGGTTAGCCAGAACGAATTCTTACTATTCCATTCGCTACGTTAAAATGAATATGTGTGTTTTAGTTGGGCAACACAATTTTTTCCATTGCTCTTTTCGGTGTTTTTTTTCTCTTCTTCCTTTTTTTCCACTGCCGTTCTCTCGCTCTCACTCTTCGTTCTTTTTTTTTGGTCGATGAAGAATATAAAAAAAGCGCACATGAGAACATCGACGGGCGACTAGAATGAACGAGAAAAAAATCATGGTGCCAGAAGAAGTGAGAGAAAGACCGTAGCATACCCAACGACTGACAATATGTTGTAAGGATAACTAAACTCGGAAATTGCGCACACACACTCACACACACACATACCATTCACGGTGAAACAAACACCGAACTGAGAGACAGAGAGCATCGAGGCATCGAGAGAAACGTTCGAGACCGAAAAGAAAAAAAAAGAACAATAACATCAAATAAAAGATAGAATAAAACGTAAAACTTCGACAGCTACAACAATAGCAAAAGAGACAAACTTTCTACTTGCTTCTTGCTCCCCGATATATGTGTATATACATATCGGATATATAAATATATACGGAGTGAGCGAGAGCTAGTGAGAGTGTGAGAACGACACGGAGGTACAACCGAATTAAAATTATATGTATTTACATCATCTTCACAGTACAACGCTTGCGATGCGATGCGAATTCAGAGTGTCTCGTTCCTGAATTTTTTTTTCTGTTCTGTTGATACTCTGGCACTAGCTTCAAATCGGCACAACATGCGAGAGAGAGAGAGAGAGAGAGAGAGAGAGTGAGCATTTATCTACCGGGGAGACTCGTCGTCGTACACGACAAGAATAGCAAGCCACGGTTCACATACCAATGAACGCAACACGAATGCACAACTTAGCATTACAATGTTATGTATCCTATATCATTTTCTGTTGGCGAAAATGATACACACTCTCAAACACATAGTTTTCATCTTGATTTCCATCTTTTGCTGCTCCAATACTTCTTAGCTGCAAGTTCAATTTGGTTTTCGGCTTGTGTGCGACGACAAAGGGGACGACAGGCGGCTACCGACAATTTTGCCATTTTGATTCGGATGCGGAAAAGGATTGATGATTTTGATGTGTTTGAATATTAATTTGGGAGATTCAGTGTGTGTGTGTGTGTGCATTGTGGTTGACTTTTGCACAAGCCACACTTTTCATTTCAACGCTTTGCATTTCCGTTAGGTAATGACATTATTTGCTCCAGAAAAAAAAACCGCACGAAAATCAACTAGTGACGCAGATTGGCATAAATGTAGCGAATAGTCAAGTTTGCCGAGACAATGCAATGTTGGTCTTCTTTGTCACTTAGTCGTTGTTACACAGTCATGTGCATAAGGAGCTACTCACACAATACGACGCATCTTTGTATTCGCTTATGTTGAAAAAATTCCCCTTTTTTTCTCGCAATCTTATACTTCAATTTTGGATTCGTTCTCATCAAAAATTCGGTGTTGGGATGCGCGATTAAATTTTGATGCCGTTACACTCAGAGATGCGCTGGATGGCGTTATTTGCACGCGCGACAACGCGAGAACGAAGAGAAGGAACAACAGTAATGAACAACAGTAACGAACACCAGAAACAGAGGGAAACAAACCCTAGAGACTTTGAAAAGGTGAAAAGAATTTATTTGTTTCCACTTTGGATGTCGTGATCAACGACTGCATAAACAAATAGTAATTACAGTTGAATTACAACAATTTTCCGTCGAATACATTTCATAAATACGTAGTTCATTTACTTTCGGGCGAATGTTGGTTGCCGCGCGCGCGAAACATGCCGAAGAAAAGTTTGTTCGGAAAACCGAAGTTAAGGGAAGTGAAATGACTGCTGCATGATATTCGCTTGAAAAACTTCTATCATTACTTTGAATCTCATTTAAACGCACTTGTATCAAGTTGAAAAAGTATCAAGCAGCAGCAGAAGAAGATGATGATGAAGAAGAAAAAAACCGACACACACACACACAACAGCCGTAACAACGATTTTTCTGATGGAAATGTTGCAGTAAGCAGCAAAACAAATCTGATGCGGCATTTGAGCCGAGCGGATCAACCGAATCCAGTAATTGGAGGAAAAGGCGAAAACGGTGGCGACAAAACGCAAAGAATTTTTTTCGCTAAGTCGTAAACTCTAATAAGATTCGAAGTAACTGGGCGAAGAGTGAGCGAGCGAGCGAGCAAGTAGAGAAGTTTGTCTATTTCATCAATGTGCTCGAGCAGTTTGGCATCGTTGTTGATCGGTTAATGTGTTTACGCACATGTAGGCCGTTGTTATTTTCTACTTTGATTGGGGTCATGCAAGATGAAACATATTAATGCATAGCATCCTTGCTTATGGTTCCTTCGTCGATTTTTGATGTGATTCGCTCGGGTGTTTTTTTTTCTCTGTTGCTTCCTACACGTTCGCAATATCGAACGCGTAGATCATTGGAATAAGATTCATTTCGAAACGGACAACGCGCACACACAAACACGTTTTTTTTCTCGACTGGATTTAATGCGAATGTCATCCCAAAACTGAATCGAATCGCACCGAAAACTGCTTCGTACAGAT